AAAGGCTTAATTGATCTCATCGCATAGCAAGCTGCATTTAATTTAGGTATAATTTGTTCAATATGTATTTTCCAAGACAGTGTACTGTCTACATGTATTCCAAGGAATTTTGTATCAAGTACTTTACAGATTAATTTGTTGGCATAACTGATGTCCAGATCAATTTGGTGGTTGTTTTTAGTTGTGAATGATATGTAATGGGTTTTATCAAAATTTAATGAGAGTAAATTGGCTTCGAACCATCTGTTTAAGGCTTCAAATACAATATTTATGTCATTTTTAAAGTTTTCAAATTTAGAGTTCTTAAATATTATACTAGTGTCATCTGCATATAGAATTGGTTTAGATTTATTGTTGGACCAGTAGAGGGCTCTTGTGAACATGGTAATGAACCTTCAGGTTCCATAAAATACTGGGAAGTTCTTGAGTAGCTGAACAATTGGCAGCTTCAAAAGAAGGGCTCAGCTCCATGAATGAGAGAGAGTTAAGAAGCACATATGAATATTATGCAACACAGGGCAAAATAATTATGTCAATTCAATGTATTCTAATTGGAATAAATAATCAGGCACAATGAAAGCAAATTCTTCTATAGAGTGGGACAGAGATAGCATATACTTTCATATCATGATTTCAACTTTGAATGGCAGATTAAAGACATTAGCATCTATCCTGTGGAGGTCATGTTTAGCCTGTCTTTATACAGTGAATAACAGAATCTTAAATTTTCCACACTATCCACAGTGAAAGACAGTAATGAGTGAGAATTCATTGGCAAAGGGAAGAATATTAAGTTTCTGATATAATTATCTACAGACTGTCCTTATGTAAGCAACTGTTCAAATGATTTTGGGATATTAATATATTTTTGCTTTCTACTTGGCTGCTGAACTCTTCCTTGATGACTGTCTCATAAGACATAGAATTGTAATAAGCAAAATAAATTATTTTTAAACATGTATTTTATTTTCTGAAATTATGCAAATTCTGTCCTCATTTTTCTGTTCTAATCAAGTCCACTATTTAGGTGCACATTTCGTTTAAAATCTACAAGATGTTTTAAGTTTCAGACACCATCTTTTCTGATTTGGTATTGAAACTGTTTCAGAGTTTCTTAAGATGTTTAGAATTTAAACTCTGAATTTAAAGTTAAGACTGGTGAATACTTTCCAATTATCACTTCTTTGATGTTGTAAGGCCAATCTGCTAATGTCATATTACACATTTCAGCTCAAGTTTCCTCCATTATACAAGACAATGAAAATTTTGTGTAATACTAATTATTACTAATGGAATTCGAGGTATAGCTGGCCAGCGGTTTAAATGTTACTTAATAGAAGAAGGCAGAAATTAAATCCAACTCCATACCAATCAAAATAACCATAGAGAATGGGGCACTGCATATCATGAAGTCCCACAAGGCCCACAAGATTGGGCACTTGGCCCCTTACTTTCTCTCATAAATGCAAACATTACATTGCATTGCATTGCATTCCATGGATCCAAAGTTAGTCAACATGACTGTAGGATGTGGAATATGTCATATAAATACAAAACATTTGTACAGTCCCAATAGAGTTCTCACACAAGAGAAACCAAGAATACACAGTGACTACACACAAGGCTATTTAAAGATACATAAGTTATTCTCTAAACAATAGGTATTCATCAACAGAGTAGAATGAATGTGTTTTAAGTAACGTTTCAGTGCTATTTTAAATTATGCCTTTTCATTCATAAGACCTTTGAGATCAAATGGCAGGTTATTAAGAATGTTGATTCCAGCATAATATGCACTTTTCTGAAAGCATGAGAGGTTAGCAATGGGTTTATGAAAACGGTGTTTGTGTCTTGTGTTAATACTGTGTACATGATAAATGATACAAACTCCGTCCTAAGTGCAAACAATATATATTTATATGTCTTTGATCTTGTTCTTTCTACACTACATGTTTCGGCCTCTATCGGCCATCATCAGGTGTATACTCTTAACGTCGCTGCCACACTGAACCCAGTCTAAAACTTAACATTTAAAAACACAATGTCACTTTCTTCGTATTATCAACATCTACATCGTTGATATGTGTCTGGTATGTAGANAAAATGTTCTTTGTTATTTGTAATGAAGTTTATTAATGAATATATATATTCACAAGGAAAAGTTAAGATCTGTAGTCTCTTAAATAGGTCTCTACAGGAATTACGGGATTTGACACCCATCATGATTCTAACAATTTTCTTTTGCAATGTAAGTACCTTTTTACTGTCAGATTAATTACCCCAGAAAATTATTCCATACTTCATTAAAGAGTGAAAGTAAGAAAATAGATTGATTTGAGTGTGTCACTGTTACTAATATGTAACATGGCCGCAGCACAGCTCAAGCAGTTACACGCTGGCTTCCCACCGTGGTGGCCCAGGTTCGATCCTGGGTCTGGTCAAGTGGGATTTGTGGTGGACAAAGTGGCGATGGGGCAGGTTTTCTCCGAGTACTTCAGTTTCCCCCGCCAATCTTCATTCCACCAATTGCTCCACAATCACACTTGCCTATCATCTGGGGCTGGTACAATAGGCCAGAAGTGGCCGCAGTACAAGGGACTTAGTCCCACCCCACTAGCAATGAAAAAAAGAATATGTAACATGAATCTAACGCATAACATGCTCTACTTAGCTTTGGAATCAACTGATCAATATGGTTTTTCCAGTTTAAATAATTATCAATCTGGAAGTCAAGGAATTTTGTGTTTACTCCCTTTTCTATATATTTATCATTATATCCTATGTTTAATGGATACTGTGGTGTTTTTTGTTATAAATTTTATATTTTTTTTCTAGGTTCAGGGACAGCTTGTTTGCAGAAAACCATTTACAATATGTAACATGAATCTAACGCATAACATGCTCTACTTAGCTTTGGAATCAACTGATCAATATGGTTTTTCCAGTTTAAATAATTATCAATCTGGAAGTCAAGGAATTTTGTGTTTACTCCCTTTTCTATATATTTATCATTATATCCTATGTTTAATGGATACTGTGGTGTTTTTTGTTATAAATTTTATATTTTTTTTCTAGGTTCAGGGACAGCTTGTTTGCAGAAAACCATTTACTCGTCTGCGAAAGAACCTTGCTTGATAACGTGTAGAAATCATCTAAATTTTTACTAGACATTATAACACTAGTGTCATCTGCAAATATTATAGGTATTGATGAGGNAATTATCAATCTGGAAGTCAAGGAATTTTGTGTTTACTCCCTTTTCTATATATTTATCATTATATCCTATGTTTAATGGATACTGTGGTGTTTTTTGTTATAAATTTTATATTTTTTTTCTAGGTTCAGGGACAGCTTGTTTGCAGAAAACCATTTACTCGTCTGCGAAAGAACCTTGCTTGATAACGTGTAGAAATCATCTAAATTTTTACTAGACATTATAACACTAGTGTCATCTGCAAATATTATAGGTATTGATGAGGTCCTTAGTGTAAAAGGGAGGTCGTTTATATAAATTATGAAAAGCAAAGGCCTCTGCAGTTCTTACCTAATGATACGATAAAGTTTCCTTTCGTCCTGAAACAACTGTCTTAAACAAATCTAATAAAACTGCTAATATATCTTCCCCATAACATTAACGTTACATTTTCCGCCAAATATGACCACTATCATAAACAAGGAAGTCTGTCTGTGGTTATAGATTAGAACACAGAGTAACGCTCCACATTCTGAGAGCAATGAAATACGCTCGAAATACGTCATCTCCGGTATACAAACACCAATGAAATCAGAGAATGAACCTGACGCAATTAGCCGTCACAAAACAAAAGAAAGAGGGAATTTATGGCTGGTTTGGAATTATGTAGGAGACGAACTGCCTCTATTAGAGCCATATTCTTTGATTTAGACAACACGCTTATTAACACTAGGAAGGGCGATAAGTTGGCATGTGATAAGGTATTGTAAAATTTATGTTGTAAAGAGCACCATTGGACTGTCATGTTAAAATATTTAACATTATCAAGGTCATATACGGATAGTCCTGCGAACTATACTGCTGCGCTCCAACCACGTTGTGTTGCGTTTCCTTAATTGAGTGCTCTGCTGTCGGGAATTACATGAGCGCTTAAAATAGATTTTAGTATGCGACCAGTGAACTCATGCAGGAAACTCTATACAAATTTTCCCAATTTAGACTTTAGGATGGTGCTGGCACTGTCTTGGGAATAAAAATAGCTCTTGGCAAGGGTGTGAACCACGCAATGGAATCATGCCCGGCAGTTTATCGCGCAGGATATCGCGTGAGGAGTTTTCGAAAGAAGCAGCAAAGAGTTTTAACGTAGTAGAGCATATTTGATTATTTTCACGAAAAGATAGTTTTGCGAAGGGAGGAAAATTGTGACATCAGGAAATCTGAAGTACACAAGAACGCACAATTGGGAGATACATGCCTTAATCAAGAAGAGCATCACTGCAAGTGTATTTATATTTCATTTTTTTATGGTGCATTTTATTACTTTTAGTCATCAAAGATGTCTGGAGGAAGTGTTCCTGATTCAGTGAAGAAATGCATTGCAATTTTAAGGTCTGCAGAAAGTGATACAGAAAAATTTGCTGCTTTGTTTATGGTCACAAAACTTGTGAAAGGTGAAGATTGTAACACACAGAGTAAGAAATTGCTGTTTGAAGCAATTGGCTTCAAGTTTTTAAAACGACTCCTACTGAGCTCTGATGTTCCAGCAGACTGCCCTCCACTCGTTTACAAATCTGTTGCACTGTCAATATTGTCAAGCTTCTGCTCTGATAAAGAACTTGCAACTCATCCAGAAATGCTTGCCAACATACCTGTGTTCCTTGACATTGTGCAGCAGGCTGATGATGATGATCTGGATGATAATCTGATTGTTGTAAGTGAAGCATATGAATGCCTACAGAACATAGCAGCGCATCACCCAGGTCAGGTGGCACTGTTGGAAGTAGGAGGTGTTGCAAAAATGTGTGAGATTTATGCTCAGCAAAGCTTCCAGACTGATGAGGCACTGAATATTCTAGTCACACTTGTGACACAATTTGGACAAAATGCATGGGATATGAACCCAAAACCATTTCATGTCATTGTGAACAAGATTGCCCTGGATTTTGAAACAGATCACAGTGAGCGGAAGTTTGAGCTGTGTAGAATGCTTCATGCGCTTCTTTTTAGCTGCAGACGTAATGTGATAGTTGCCACTGCGAATGATGCTCTGTGGCCAGGTAGCATCTACAAGGGTTTGTCAGATATCTTGACCAGCAGGCTGGGAAAGGCCCAGCGTGACCCAGCCCTGAATCTGGTATCGATAATGGTAGAACTACTGGGTGTGGAGTGGTGTCTGACAGATGAAGAACGACCAAGGCAGTTCTTTCTCTTGCTGGTGCAGCTGTGCTCTGTTGAGGTACGCATGCAGCTGGAGGATCGCAACTTTAAGCAGATAATGATGAATGCAGACCTTGTGGCTTCATGCTTTGTTGTGTTAGAGCTCTCTATTGCATACATTGCAACTGACACCCTTGAACTGGAACAGAAGGAGAAACAGCAGCTGTATACAGCTTTAAAGGGAGCATTCTCGGCTGTCATTTCTGTACTCACCAAGGTATCCTGTGATTTCACCAAGAATCCAAATGCGTTGAATACTAAAGAGAAAATATTTGTATGTGCTATGGTTCGTGTCCTTTCAGCATGGCTGGCTCAAGAAACTTCTGCTATGAGAAATGCTGTATATGCTCTTCTTCCATTCATGCTTACCCTTGCCAATGAGACATTCTATGCTTACCGCTCACGACGACTGGCAGAAAAAAGACAGAGTTCTGACACCATGGAGACAGATTCAGACCTGATCAGTCAAGTGGACATTCTGCGGCTGATGTTGCCTGCGCTGTGCCACCTGGCAGTTGAGGAGAAGGCTCGCAAGATTCTGCTTGAAGCCAAGGAGGATGAGGTTCTGTATGAATGCTTGGCTTACCACTGGTCCATCGTGCACTACAAAAAACCACCAGTACCAAAGTCCGAGCGTGGGAAGGCCAAGAAGGAGCCAGAAGTGGAACTGGATCCCAGGATGCTGGAAGAAATGAAGGAATCAAGAGCAGCAATGGTTAGCATCTGCAACATCTTCATGAATGTGACTGTACTGGAGGCCAAGATGGTAGAGGAGAGCATGCTGTTTGCGACACTTCTGAAATTCATTTTCAACAACCTGCCAGAATTAAAGAATGTGCCAGAAAATCTGGTTTTGCATGGTAACCTAGCAATTCTTGGATTGCTACTACTTAAGCAGCAGGCAAAACGAGTGAAGAAAAATGATTTCACTATCTGCCGCTACATTCAGTCAACCATTCGCTTCCTGTGGGATGCATACAATGTGGATGAGTCGAATGATACATCATCACTAGTTGTGGCAATGAGTTACAAGAAGTACTGGCTTGAACTCATGGAACTCTGGTTTTTGGGGATGCAGACGATGAGTGCAGTGCTGGCGCTAGTTCCATGGATATCAGAGTTTGCAATTGAGAGCGGCTGGGCAGAGGGGATTATTGACACACTAAACAAGGTTAGGACAGGGTCACTCCCAGCCAATACCAAGTCCGCCTATGAGGACTTCCTCTGCCATCTGGTGGATGCGAACAACAGTGTCACCTCAGTCCTGAAAGAACACAATGCTTTAACTGTGTGCAGAACCCACAGGTTCATGGAGCTGGGCAAGAGACTGTTTGGTGATTAGGAAGACGCGATTATGTACTGTTTCTCATTACAGGAGTTTCACAGCTAAATATATTTTTATATGTCTGCCAGTAAATTTGTTGTGTTATTCTATTGGGGAGTTGTGTGAACTAATTTCAAATTGGATCCAGAAAGTGCATGGGACAGCTTGATCATCTTGCTATCTTCCAGTGAGGAACCCTCCCCCCATCTCAGCAGGCTGCAACACAGGTATACATGCATGGTACCAGGATTCATTTTGTTCAATCTAGGGACAGTGCCCTCAAATTGCCTGTGCCATACATGTGAATGGGCAGTTTTGTAATGCTATTAGGGTGTTGGTAGCGTGCAGTTGTGACAAACACTTGTAGAACAGCCCCCATTAAGTTACAGGAGAAGCAAATAAAATAGTTAACACAAAGCTACAGGATTTAAGGTTCTCACAGATGTGGTTAAGAAGGGGTCTATAGTCTGGGATTTCAGTGGTTCTCAGAAGGAGCCGATGGGAACTGACAGATTGGCTTCGAAGGTCCATTCTGTTCCTATATAATCTTCTTTTCACAAGCCATGGGCTCTACTTGCCGCCTGCATCATGCTAGTTTCTTGCTTGGTGTACTCTTCAGCCTTGAAGACGGAGGTGGCATGTTCCTCCAAACTGTTGGTTGACTTTCAGCCAATTACTACACACCACTATATCCCAGAAGATAGAACTCTTTAGTAATGCAAAGAATTTGTGTACATGCATTCTCTTACTAGTTTCCCTGAAAAGGCACACAAAATGGTCAGAAAACCACTTGGAGAATATAGGTGTATGTGGGAAGATATTATTAAAATGGGTCCTAAATAAACAGTGTGTGATGATGTGGACCAGATACATTTTGCTCAGTACAGGGAATGCAGTAGTCAGATTTTGTCAACATGGTAATGAACTTACGGGTTCTGTAAAAGGTGGTGAGTTTCTTGACTAGCTTTTGAAGGATGATGCTGCTCCATGGAATTGGTGCTGCATCTCATTGGCAGTCCAGAGTAGGGTAAACAATGATTTCCATTCTTAAGGGAACAGAGCAAAATGAAGGAGATGAGTGACAGTATGAAGGCAGTTTAGATTCTGGTCTGTTCAACATCTGAACGAGCTGACATATGTTCATGAAATGTATATATGAATTATATATGAACACATAACTGGAGGCCACCCTGGCCACCCTTATCAACTTCCTGCTGTCAGTAAGACATGGGAACTTAGAGGGTTGGACATTAGTCTTGTTTAATTTGATGTCCTGGACTGATATAGGTAATAGATTGTTAAAAATTATTCAGATTTTATGGTAATTCTTTGGCTGAATATAAAATAATGTGTTCAAGAGAGGTCTTCAGATTTTGGTTTGATGGCAGTAACTAAGGACCATTAGAGACAGGCATGTGAAATTTGATACAGACCATGAGTATGAATATATGTACCTACACATTATATGTGAAATATTGTTTAAACATGGTGACAGTGTGAAACTTTGAGGTTATATCTGACAGTTTTAAGTGATCAGAATCTGCAGTTCTTTAAGGGTGAGGGCACACCAAGGAAACTGGCAACCACAGTTTCTGAGAACAGTTATCAGCCTGAGTTGGAACACATACTGAATGGAGGAGCGCAAATTGAGGAAACTGCAATGCAACTTTTGGAAAGACTGAGAAACTCAGCTTCCAGGCAACAAAGCATGCCAGTCTCCTCACAGTTGCATAGTTTTCAAGTGCCAGCTGTTCCAAAACACATGTCAGTGAGCTTAATTTGTTTCTCAAGATGGAATTAAAGGTTGACGAAGCTGCTAATTTTGTTTTTGTGCAGTTAATTGAGCAGGAGCTTGGTATATATGGTAAACACCACTCAGACTATGCTAGGCAGGAGAAATTAAATTTGGCTTGGGAAAGAATTTCTTATGAGACAAAGGAATCTGGATCCAGGTTAAGTTCTTTTGAAACAATATAAGTGCCTCCATTTAAATCGTCACAGAAGAACAGACGAACCCAGTGTTTTCTTTTGCTAATATTCTATTTAAGCATCTTGTTGCATTACCATATCATTTATTTCACATATATTTCCATCTTATATGCAACTTATTATATAGCCACCCTTCCGCTTATATATGGTTTGGCTGTATACAGCCATCATCAGGTGTCTTCTTACTTATTTACTTACTCATGGAGCTGAGCCCTTCTTGAGGAGTTGCCAATTCTTCTGCTACTCAATTTCCCAGCATTTTATGGAACCCAAAGGTTCATTACCGTGTTCACAAGAGCCCTTCACTGGTCCCTATCCTGAACCAGATCAATCCAATCCACACCATCCCAGGCTATCTTTCTAAGATCCATTTTAATATTGTCCACCCACCTATGCCTTGGTCTTCCCAGTGGTCTCTTTCCTTCTGGCTTTCCCACCAATATCCTATATGCATTCCTCTACTCCCCCATCTCATCCTCCTTGTTTTAGGACTGATCATTCTGATTATACTTGGAGAACAGTACAAGTTATGAAGCTCCTCATTATGCTCTTTTCTCCAACTTCCTGTCACTTCATCTCCTTTCAGTCCAGATATTCTCAACATCCTGTTCTCAAACACCCTCAGTCTATGTCCCTCCCTTAATGTCAGAGACCAAGTTTCACACCCATACAGAACCACAGGCAAAATTATAGTTTATATATTCTAATTTTTATGTTTTTGGACAGCAGACAAGAAGGCAAAAGGTTCTGGACCGAATGGTAGTAAGCATTACCAGAGTGCAATCTCCTCTTAATTTCCTCTTGAATCAGGTTTTGATTTGTTATTGTCCCCAGATGTCTGAACTGTACCACATTTTCAAAACATCTGTTACCTATCTTTATGTCCTGATTTTGCCCTGCATTTTTGGGAGGAAATAGCAACATATACTTAGTTTTCTCTGTGTTTACTTCCAGACCAATCTCCTTACTGGCGTCAATTAAAGTTTGTGTGTTTTTCTTTATGGTATCTGTATTATCACTCAGTAGATTCCCATCATCAGCACAGATCAACAGCTGATGTGTCCTGTTAAATCTCAGTGCCACCTGGTTTTCCTGGACCTTCCTAATGGCATATTCTAAAGCAAAGTTCTGACTGCCATTGTTTTACACTTTTTTTTCTATCATTGCGCAATGGAGAGAGCCCACAAATATACTTTCTTTCACCAAAACGTGAATTGACAGCAGCTCGGAATGACATGTTCCACTTACCTAATGCACATTCTTTTTCTTCCAGCTTGTAGCCATCCTACAGGATGAGTATCTTGTTCCCAGTGATGTAGCTGCGTTGGCTCCTCAGACATTCTTGCACAATTTCCGTCTCTGCCCAGACCATTGTGGCATGACATTGGACAAGTGGCGACATCTCCTCTGGTGTCAAGCACTTGGCGATCAGTATGAACACATAGCAGGTTGTACACCTTACAGAAAATCTTTTTTGCCCTTACTTTCCACTAGTACTTATTAACACAGTACTGTACACTGCAGGTGATATCTACAAGGAGTGGCTGCGACTGAGATACTACTGCTTGGCCATCACTCCAGACGTGTTGTCACTTCTGTACAGGCTGCGGCAGCACTATATGCTAGGCCTCATCACGAATGGACCATCATGTGCACAGTGGGAGAAGGTGGAACAACTGGACCTGCGACATTACTTTGACTGCATACTGGTTTCAGGAGACTTGCCTTGGGAGAAGCCTCACCGAAAGATCTTTTTGGAGGCATGTCATTACCTGGGGGTACAACCATGGCAGTGTATAATGGTGGGAGACACGCTGGAGACAGACATCCAGGGAGCCATTGAAGCATCACTAGGGGCAACAGTTTGGGTACCCTTGTGTAGAGAACACCCCTCCATTTTAAAACCATGTCCTGATTTTACTCTAGCCAGTATTACAGACCTTCCATGCCTCCTTCCTTCAGTCCCCAAATCTCTTGTTCGATCCAAGCTTAGTGCCACTCCCCCAGACATCGAGGACTGTAGCAGCAACAGCAGTGATGGAAGCTGATGGCTTCATAATATCAGACTGGGAAGCAGCAGGAAGCTGTGGTTTCCATTGCATTCTTTGGCATCCTTGTATGAAGTGACAGTTATGAAGTCTAGGCAATTCCTTTCCTGTGTCTGCTGTGTACTTCTGATCTAGAAGTCGGACATTGCTCTCAGAAAACAACTGTGCTGCTTCTATTCTTTTGGGAGGGGCAGCTAAAAGTCTAGCAATATAAGCAAAAAAAAAAAAAGAGTTGATATTATGTTACTTTATAAAATTTGCAGTACATGTTTTCACTGTGGCACTTTGCTGCTTGTGTAGACGTGATCTCTCCCAAGCCAGTTTGCGATGACCCCACTTTACTTGCATCACTAGTGTACCTGAAACATGACTCAAGGCCATTAAAATTCTATACATTTGATAGTTCAGAATGAAAGGGGCTACCCCAGCAAGAGCTACTGCATTTACAGGATGGAAATATCTTTATATACATACTAGCTAAATAGGGTGTTTTGCAGCCACTGCACTGTCTGGATTCATTGTACTGTTATCAATAAATGTGTGTCAAATGAAGGAACTAAGCTATCATGTAATCTCTGTTAATGCTGTGGCCAAAACATTTTTGAGGGTGCCTTAGTAACAGATGGTGATGTATATCATTGTGTCATTAGAAGGCTGCTACACTCCCACCCATGAGAGACTGTTCAAAGCATGATGTACCGTCAGAGATGTTTTAGGCCCGGTCACCATACCTCAGAATTCTTCATCTCTTTCTAAGAAATATGGTATACAATTTGTACATAATTTCCCTGTTACATAAATGTAATCTTTTGAAAAGTGAATCTTACTCAAGATTGAATATTCTTTGCTTCACATTAAGCATGAGTGCTTCCCACAGACATGGAAAATGTACTGATACAATAATGCTTCATGTAGCATTTCTGACTTGAATGCACCAGTTCACTAGTGGGGTGTCCCAGGAGGAAAGGTCAATATTCTGAGAGGTCATAGTGTCAGTCATTCTAAGCAAAAAAAAAAAATGTGTATGTATGTGTCCTGTTCCAAACGATTTCCAAGATAAAACTATTTCACTGTACAGATGAGCAATATACCATATCCTCACATGAGTTGCAAAGTGCACTGATGTTGGCAGAGTTTTTTAAAATGTATTATCCTGTACCAACTCTGTCACATGAACGATAATTACCAGTATTAGAAACAGTACATAATATCTCTTACCAACAATTTTGGAACTGTAGAGTGAAATAGCTCTATCTTGGAAACCCGACACATGTACATATACACTTTTGCTTAGAATGACCATTACAATTACCTCCCAGAATAATGACCTTTCCTTCTGGGAGACCCTATATAGCTCTATGCAAGATTATAGAAACAAACTTACAATCTAAGGTGATATCAAGAAGGAACAGTGTTGATGCTAAGTAATACAACAGCAGAAAATAAAAACAGACTTTGGCCATGTGTAATTACTGAACTAGGCAGAAAAAGTTAAGAACTCTAGTGTTCCTAGAGTAGTTTATGCAGAAACAAGCATTGTTTGTACCAATTCAGGGTCCTTTGTTAAGAGAAAAGTCTAAAGAGTCCCAAAACTAAACATTGAAGTCTCATCAAATGGCTGGCTGGATCATTCCAGAAAATGTGCAGTGCCTAGCTACAGTCATGAATAGGGATTCGAAAAGTGTAACCAAGGAGGAAATAGATGTCTGGAAGACAAGTGCTTCCATCACTTCTGTGTGAAAACCATCCAAAGGATATATTTAATGTAGATGAGTGTTGGCTGTTCTTCAGCCTACTTCCAAAAACAAAATATGCTTTTAAAGATGGAAGATGTCATGAAGGCAAGGAACATAAGATAAAATTACTATGCTTGTATGTGCACACAGGATGAGTCTGAAAAGATGCCACTGCTGACAGCTGGAAAGCCAGACATGTGAGATCTGTGCCACTTACATACACACATAACAGGAGTGCATTAATAACTTGTGCACTGTTCATGGAGTTCCTAGCACGTTCTGAAAGTAGACTGGCAGCCAAAAACCAGTGTGCACCATCACTTAGTAGCATTCCTGACAGGCCAAAGCCATTCATCACAAACTTCTGGGAACTGGAAAATTTTACTTGCAATCTGTTTGAAAGACAAGTACGAGGGTTGGAACTTTAATAGTGGCAACACTGCTGTGGAAACGCCGTGTAGCGGAACCAAATAATGTCACTTATGCCACGCGTTAGTTACATACCTACCTTACCTCAGAACAAATGGACTCTCCCTTGCCACACCACGCGCATGCGCAGTGACGAGAAGAACAGAGCCTCGTGTTAGCTGGCGGTCTAGTGTAGTGTTGTCACGATGCTTTCGAAACAGGAACAATGGAGTTGGATAAAGATTGAATGTGCCAGAGGCCATACAGCACGACAGTGTCATTGAGGTCTTCAAGTGGCTTGCGGGGAATCTGCATTGCCTTACAGAACAGTGCCAAGGTGGGTAAAAGCCTTCAACGAGGGACGCCAAAATGCGGCTGACATGCGTCGGCCAGGTCGTCCTAGTGTCAGTGAAGAAGTGTATGCTCTTTCCACGTTACTGGAGAGTGATCAACGCCATACAATTCATGAGCTGGCCCGAGAGACAGGATTAGTGCATACGACTGTGCTTCACATTCTGAAGGAATGCCTGGGCATGAGAAAAATTGCATCACGATGGGTTCTGCATGATTTGACGGAAGTGCAGAAATGGCAAGCTGTGGCTGATTTGTTTGATCGATGGGGCTGGGAAATGCTGTACCATCCACCATACTCCCCAGACTTAAGCCCTTGTGACTTCAACTTGATTCCTAAGATGAAGGAACCACTTCATGGCATTCGCTTCAGAACTGTTCCAGAGATTCTTCAGGAAGTAGACTGCTCCATTCGAACTATCAACACAACAGGCGCTGCTAACGGTATCCTATGGGTTGTACACAATGCTGCTGACTACATTGGAGGACAGTAAAACTTAGAAACATGCATCTATTTTGTATCGGTTGTAAATAAATAGCTGCCAATATTAAAGTTCCAACCCTCGTAAAACAAACAACACTAGGCATGTTCTTCAAGAGAGAGTAACATTATAGAACAGACTATTTTAAGTAGATTCTAAAGGGTTCTGAAAATGGTGTATGACACTGAGAATTACTGGATTTTAGGACTTTATCAGAGGCAGGAGGACACCCTCTCTGCTCGGTTCCCCACACCCCTCTTCTGAGGGTGGAAACAGACCCAGTTTTCCAAAATGTTGTGTTCTGTATTTTTTTAGAATACCAGATGATGGACAAAGTCCAAAATCCCAGTAATTCTCAGTTTATTTTAACCACAACAGCAGGAACATGTAGTGTATATTTAAAAGCATATATATTGAAGTGTTTTTAGCCATTTATACAGTGTAAAAATATGTTTATTCTGTTCCTTTTCTACAAGGGATATAACTAATTCTCTAAACATTTTGAAGCCTACCCTTTCAAGATATTTCCCATGTAACTTCATATATTTCTTGGTCCCTTGGAAAACTTCTTAAAATGGATTCACTATAATACAATTCATTGTCACTGCCTTGAGAACCTCAAATCTAACATTATGTTGTTCATTTACTCCAGACACATATACAGGGAACTTAATGATAGCACCAATGTGACGTGGCTGCGTGTAGACACATCACAGTGAAAAATGTTTCAGACAAGTGTCTCCTGATTCACATAACTTCGTTAATTCATCATCATATTATGGTTTATTTATCCTTTGATCAAAAGTAAAAAATAATGAAATAACCTGTCTAAATGATAGAAAATAAGACTTATAAAAGATTAAAATGAATGGTATTAAAGTTATGTGGACATAACATTTATCTAACAACTTCCAATATGGACTGAGATAACAAATTTAATTGAATATGAAACTTTACAGACATGATCTTCAAATTCAGTGTGAGACAGACTGAAGTCCTGTGTTCCCCAAAGCGAAGAAGAGATAGAGTATTGACTAGACTGAAAAAGAGATGGGAGGTTAGCATTACAATCTGAAAGGGGGCATCAGTGTTGGCAGTAAGAGAAGGTTTCCTGTGACTACACCATCACCATCATCACTCATGGAGATAAGCCCTTCTTGAGAAACTGACAATTTTGCAGCTACTCAAGAACTTCCCAGCATTTTATGGAGCCTGAAGGTTCCTATCCTGAGTCAGATCAATCTAATCCATACCATCCCATTCTATCTCTCTAAGATCCAGTTTAAAATTGTTCACCCACCTATATCATGGTCTCCTTCCTTCCAGCTTTCCAACCAATAACCTATATGCGTTCTTCCTCTTCCCCATTCGTGCTACATGCCCTGCCCACCTCATCCTCCTTAACTTTATCATTCTTATTATACTTCGAGAAGAGTACAAGTTATGAAGCTCCACATTATGCAGTTTTCTCCATCATCCTGTCACCTCAACTGTCTTGAGTCCAAATATTCCCCTCAGCACCCTGTCCTCAAACACCCTCAGTCTATGTTCCTCCCTTAATGTCAGAGACCAAGTTTCACACCCTTACAGAACCACAGGCAAAATTATAGTTTTGTATATTCTAATTTTTATGTTTTTAAACAGCAGATGAGAAGACAAAAGGTTCTGGACTGTATGGTAGCAAGCATTACCCGAGTTCAGTCTCCTCTTAATTTCCTCCTGAATCAGGTTTTGATTTCTTATAGTTGTTCCCAAATATTTGAACTGTGCTACATTTTCATAGCATCTGTTACCTACCTTTATATCCTGATTTTGGGGACGAAATAGCAACATATACACTTGGTTGTTGACTTACGACCGGCCGCACTGATGACCACAAAAAATGAATAATAAAAGATGATTAAAATGTAAAAGTTTTTAAAAATAAATTATAAAGATGATAAAAAGATTAGAAAGGTTAAAAAATACTCTTAATAAATATATGGCTGACATACAACCAGATCGACTTACGATCTGTCTGTCAGAATGGAAGTTGGTTGTAAGTTGACAACCAAGTGTACTTTGTTTTCTCTGTCTTTACTTCCAGACCAACCTTCTTACTAGTATTAATTAGTTTGTGTGTTTCTCTTTATGGTATCTATATTATCACCCAGTAGATTCACATCATCAGCATAGACCAACAACTGATGTGTCCCATTTAATATCAGTCGCACCTGGTTTTCCTGGACCTTCCTAATGGCATATTCTAAAGCAAAAGAAGTGGCGATAAAGCATCTCCTTGTTTTAGACCATTCTAGATAGGAAAATCATCAGCCAATTATTACATATACAGACTATACCATACATTTTAACCTTTCACCACCGGCAGGTGTTTAAGTTCCTACTCAACTCCTATGCCGGGGGATATTTAGATAATTAAATCGGAGAGTGCAACATTTCACTTAAGTGTAATAAATTTGTAAAACTGAGTTTTGTTTTTTTTTAATTTTCACCTATGTTCAGAAATGTATATAGAATTGGTGTCTTGATCCACACTGGTTTAAAATTATTTTTTGGCACAGTAAGCCTATTAAGATTATGAATGATAGTATCATATTACCTTAGAAGTTCAGCTGAGTGTGTTAAATGTGAAAACATTCCACACAGGGTCCCACGTAACACACATCACACCAGTTAACAGATTTGACGCACAACACGCCGTTTCTGTGGTTTTGATTTCTTAGCAGGTGGTGGAATCTTTCTTATAAAATTTCTTTCTCTTAGACGGGGCATCGTTTGTCTGACGAATGTCGACCCGGCACTTTGTGTTCTACAACATTAGCATATTTCACAGAGACCCTCAGTTAAATGAATTCTGACTGACAATTGAACTATTCTTTTCCTTGTGTTATTCCTACATATCATCACATTCAGAAATTTTCTTTTTGCCCCTTATAGTTTTGCATATTCTACCAATGGATGTTTGTGCTTCTCTCGATTCTGTCATTTACCACAGAACCGAGAAAAGCACAAACATCCATTTTCAGTGTCTAATTCCAAATCTGATAAAACTTTGTTCTGATTCAGTTTGAAGTAAATATATTCTCCACTGGTCATGACACAGCACAGCTGGCCACCGGTGCTAAAACCATGCTGCATGACGCCTATTTATAGAACAAAGGGGAATTACAGTAGTACCATTCATATAGTGAACTGTTTACCATTTGCTACAGTAGCAGTCGTAACACACTTCTAGAGTCAACATCACATCTCAAAAGTCGTAGATTCTCCACGTGTCTTCTCATAGTTACAAATACCAATGTTGAAGCAGCACAGTTCAGAATATGCCTCAAGAGAATCGACATTTCATTCAATCAATATAGACGACAGCACACAGTATTGATCTATAACATATTTAGTTTATAAGAATTCCCCTAGGCAGAGGTAGGTTTGTATTGTAACAAGCGCACCAAATGTTGAAACTGAAAACTTTTTCAAAGAATTCAAATGTATTACAACTCCCGCAGGAAGTGTAAAGTGGGACAACGAATATCCGAATTGATAGCCTGAACTGTCCCCATTAATTTCATACCAAAAAATTACTTTACATGAAAAACAATGGTTCAAAATACAAGCTGACACTTAGAGCTGCAATATGCACATGGGTATGGACCCCGGCGACATGTGACAAGCCACTGGCGTGCCACGTATGGAGCCCATCACCGAAGGGTTAATCAGCCTAACTAGTTACATGGGTATCCCAAACTCCATCAGAATATTGTACAATACTTTCCCCCTAACTGAACCATAAGCTTTCTTCAAGTCAATGTATAGCTGATGTACTGTCTCGTACTCCTATTTTTTCTCCAGTATCTGACGAATGCAAAAGATCTGATCAGTAGTTGGTCTGCTATGTTGAAACCCATATTGATGATCCCCAGTAACTTCATCTATGTATGGATTTTAACCTTGAGAGAAGAATATTTGATAAAATTTTGTATGAAGTTTATAGCAGTGATATCCCCTGATAATTACTAGTCAGTTTTAGCACCCTTCTTGTGAACTGGTACAATAATGGACTCCTTCCACTGACCAGGCAATATTCTCTTATTGCAAACAGACTTAATAGCCAATGGATCTTAGAACATAATATTTCACCACCTGCTTGAATAAGTTCCACTGGAACTTGATCACTACACACAACAATAAAACAAGTTGTGTTCACTCTGGTTTCATTTAATTTCAGAAACACCAAGCACTGTACAAAAATAGCAGTATGTTACACAAAGATTTGTCAGGTTCCTTCATAAGGCACTGCAGTGCTTACAACTGCTCATTTGTTCACTGAAACCAAGATGACAGGCTAGGTAAGCTGCTGGTTCACATCAACTCTTGTCCTTCCATCTGGGAATCATTTCATGTCCCTATCACTATGCTATGTTACCCAGACTGCCAGAACTCAGAAGCGAGCCATGCTGGCATGGCATCTACTCAGGTCTGTTCCCTTTCATATGAAATCAGCATGGGGGATCCATGCCTGTTGACAGATGTAATGGTGCTGTCCAGTATGTCATTATTTTGGCAGTTTCTTCAGTAATGGTCTGTAACTTGCAAATATGAGAAGGACTTCATATTTATCCATCTCTTCTACCAGGTGAGAATCTGCCCTCTGGATTCCTGTCCTTTTATATGTCTGTTTTGTGTCCATAAACACTTGACAACATGTGATCACTCATCTTCTAATCCAGTGGTATGTATGGGCCAATGCTTCAGTCAGTCACAGGTATCTCAGATGTTTCACAACTGAGTGTGTATGGTAGCCCTACACTTGGTGTGGGCTCTGGTTCCTCAAACCCACCTACATCTGCACAACTTTCGTCAGCCAAGGAGCCCTGCAGTGTCTGACATGGAATGTTCCTTACCTTCTGCATACATTCAGATGCCTCTAAACTGAAAGTTCTTCCCTGTTCCACATCCTTGACCCCTGACAGGATCCTGTAATGTGATTTCTTGCTCCAAGCCAGGTGCAAGAGCTCACTTCCACAGCCACGCTTGTCAGGCTGCGGGATGCCAAGCTGCTCACATAATCGGGCCACCTCGTCTTGCATCCGGTCCTGGAATGAACCCGGATCTTAGTAGTGTGTTTTACATGGCAACGCCTACAAGTATTCTGAGTGCTCTGCTAGCCGCACTCACCAAACTGAGCTGCCCCTCATTGTCAGCTATGTGTCTCTGGAAAAGCTGCCGCAGTCCCCTGTCACTATAGATCCCTCTAGCCAGAACATCCTCTGTGATGTCATGTACAAACTTCATGTACACTGCATCCTCCTTCCTGCACAAAGGGGACATGAGAAATGCAGCATATAAAATGTTGGTCAAAAGGGGAAGACTACTTGGAAGACCTCGGCATAGACATGATGATAACATTGAAATGGATCTTAAAGAAATAGGTGGAGAGGGAGGCATGAATAGGGACTAGAAGTAGGCTCTAGTGAGCTTGGCTACAAACATTCGATAAAACTTCCACACAAAACAAGGAAATTTCTTAAATGGCAAAGCAACTACCAGCTTCTGAAGGACTGTGCTCTGGGAAGTTACGAGTTTGACAGTATGATGGAGAAGGGCTGCTTGAGACAGCCTATCTGTAGATGGGAAGATGGTTTTTAGGGAAATAGGATGCAAAATGCTTGACATGAAATCTGTTATGTGACAGCGATACTCACGTTTTGGCTGGCAAACTCTTATGAGCTGTGGGCCTCCCTGCAAGCACAATGGGACACATTGCTATTGGGGACAGTCCCCGACTTGCTGTGCCTGAAGACACGCCACCATTATATGCAGAGTCACGACTTGACTCCTGTGGGTAGTAAAGAACCATGGAAATCACACTTTCAAACTCAAACAGCAGTATTATTATATGATGAAATTTCCATTTTCATTTTCCCATTCATCATCAGGGTTTCCTCAGGTCCATTATTTTCCAAACAAAGGATAAATGGCTGGTTGGAATTATGGTACATGTCTGTGAGGAATAGTTTGTGGTACTCTGCACTGCCAGGGTGTCGTTATTCTTATAAGAAACATTTTAGTTAAAGTCTACTCTTTCAGACCTACAGTAAACCCTCACTAATCCAGAATAACTGGGGGAAAAGGAGAGGTCAAAAGGCAGCCCTAAAAGGCACAGAACACAAATGGAAAATTTAATGATATAAAGAGTGATGATGAAAATAAAAAAAATATATAACTGTACAGCCATTCTTGAAAAATATAAAAAGACAATACACCGATTCGACAGACAATTAAAAAATTGTATTTATTTTGAACATAATAATGCATGCAGGTCTGAAGAAACCATCAAGTTTTGTCTGAACAGACAAGTGACCCATCTGCCTTCCTAAATGCCATGTGATGCTCAATTGTGATCAGCATTTCTCATATTTCAATCCAGACCGATATTTGGATTGACTATAAATGGATTAGCAAGGGTTTATTGTATTTCAGTTGTGTATGAAGCAACAGAGCGTGGAACAAAAGTAGCACCAGGGCTTGAGACTGTCTCCATATTACCGTAATGTAATTCCTCTCCAAATGCGTAATTCATGCATATGCACTTTTCCTTCTGAATATGAATTCTCCAACTGTGGTATAAGAATGTGCACACACAACGCTGTACAGAAGTGTACATCAACTTCCAGATGCCATATCACCAGCATCTCTCTGTCCATAAACATGATAATTGTATAGGCAACTAATGTGTCTAATTACTGTAATGCTTACCGTTTCACAGTCAATACAACTGATAGCATTTATTCTCCTTAATAAACCATCATGTTTAAAGCTAGACTATGAGCTATAAACGCTATTCCGGTCTATAAGTACCCACTGAACACCCACCTTGCTGCTGACATGCTTCTGAGGGTCACAGAGATCAGAGCACCTGGCAGGCATCCCACCTGATGCTGCTTCCTCCTCACTCTGCTGATCCTCTGGCCTTTGTTGCTTCTGCAATGCCATCATCAGGCACATCACTCAAAATTATACCATCAAACATTAGACAAAAGATTCCACAAAAACAACAGCCCAAGGATTTCCCATGCCTAAGGGCTGAACAGACCACATCCCATCAACACTTCATATTTCAATTTATAAAACGCTGTTTCATGAATTCCTAATTTGTTCATATTTAGTATGGCATAAACAACAGACTAACAGATTTCTGTTTACATTTTGTATGGGATAAGTGGGTTTTACAAATCTGTAGAGGAGTTGCTTAAATTGCAAGAATTTCATTGAGGGCCTTGCCTTAGCTTATTTCTCTATGGATGTACCTTCCACTTGCTTATGGTGCTTGATAAATATGCCTTCTTCCTGAAAGTCTATTCCATTATTGCTGGGGCAGGCAGAGCATGGGCCCTCAGCTTCTCATTGTACAATTTCATGTGTATTTGTTTGTCCCCCCCCCCACTTGTCTGAATATTTGTTATACTCCCCCAATTATAGACACTCAGCAACACAGAGAAAAGCATATGTTGACACCTTAGGTTCCTTGTGTTTTCTATTGTTGTGAGACTGAGTACAATTATGTGGCCAACGTACATTTGTGTATGAATGTAATATGAATTCGGCAGAAAACATCTAGTAGAAACTCCACATAAATGCTAGACTATGCAGAGTTACAAGTAACTTCAAACACGATATTACGGCCGCAGAAAATTATGTAATTTTAGTGCTGTAACTAAACAGCTACTGTATGAAAGAAAATTAAAGAGGAAGTGGCTGACTGAATACAAAGGCTATTCCTAAGTGATTCAGTGTCACATCAATCTTTGTTGCCATGACTGTCTAAAAGGAAGATGTGAGGACTGTACTTGGCCTGGTCTGCTAAGTGACAGAAACAGTGAATTCCTGCAAAAGTGCCTACAGTACAAAATACATCAGCCTGTCTGGGTTTGAAACCCTCCCTGACTGAAGGGGGCACTGTACTTCCACTAAGCATAGTAGGGTGTTCAGGTATAGGTCACAGGAGGTGCAGCCCCTTCCTTTAAAGTGCAGTCAACAGAATATGAACCTACAATTGCTTTAAAAAAAATGTGTACTATGTAACAAAAAATTGAACTCTTTAAAATGTGAATATTTGAATAACAACAAACTGTTTCCTCTTTCCCTGATTATGAGAATGGGAGGGGGGTTAAGTTCATTTGCTCCTGGTGCGACCTAATGAGATGGTTGTGGACCACCATTGCAACAGCCAATAAATCAAGCATCATGAGGCAAGTGAATGCTAAACACCATTTCACTCTCATCTTGTACAGATCAAGTGGGGCAATCTCCTCAAAGACTGAGAGGACAATATGAAAAGGTATCTTTGATTCATGCACAAGATACGCACATGCTTTCTCACTTGTAGTTCACTATAATCACGTGGCCGGCCCTTCCTGCTTGGGGGATGGTACACTCTCAAGTCACGCAGCCTCGACTGTACATCTGTCTTGAGGATGCGAGGCTTGAATGCTCGATCAGGTAACTTAAAACTATGGGCATGTTGATCCATGATGTCTGGAGCCTGCACAACAATTATCAGTCATGGCAACAGTCTGCTTATACTTCTGCCTTTCTGAGGTTGCTAAATATGTTCAGTAACCATTCAGCTAGTTAAAATCTTTGGTTCTTCTAGTCTCCAAATTCTTATGAAAGAAAGGCATAATTTAAAGTAGCACTAACAATATATTTAAATACACATTCATTCCACAATGCTGAGGAATTCCTAATGTCTAGAAATGACTCATAATCTCTTTAAAAGTCTGTATAAATAGCACAAGTGCTGAAGTGTATGTGTGGATCTATCTGAAGAATTTCAATACAATATAAGTACCTAGTGAAGTACCTAGTGAAATGCTACATTTGGAGCATAGCTCTGTATGGGGCTGAAACATGGACACTTAGGGCAGTAGATCAGAAACATCTGGAAAGTTTCGAAATGTGGTGTTGGAGAAGAATGGAGAAGATCAGTTGGACCGATTATGTGAGAAATGAAGAAGTGTTAATTAGAGTCAGTGAGCAGAGGAATATCCTACATGAAATAAGAAAACGGAAGGCTAATTGGATTGGTCATGTTTTACGCAGAAACTGCCTTCTAAAAGAAGCTATCGAAGGAAAGATAGATGGGCGGATAGAAGTGACAAGAAGACGAGGAAGAAGACGTAAGAAGATGCTGGATGACCTTGGGGACAGAAGAGGATACTGTCATTTGAAGGAGAAAGCTCTAGATCGCATAAAGTGGAGGAATTGTTTTGAAAGAGACTGTGGACCTGTCATCTTGACAGATTACTGATGATGATGATGATAAGTACCTGGTGTGTATTTGTCATGTTTCATGTGAAATGCACACACACTCACACAGGGTTTCTTCCACTTGTAAACCAAGCAATCATCTCTCAACAACATTACCTCTCAAGTTTCCTCACATACAACCTAAGAGTAAATTGAATTGTTAACTCAAGCCACCTCCTTGCTTTACTTTGCTCTTATCAGTTACAACATATTCTTACAATCACATTAATTACTACATCAATTTGTAATTTACTTACAGATCTCCAGCTAGCTCCATTATCAACAGTGTTTTCATTTGGTAACAACAGAATAAGTGAAAAATATTATCATGTATTAGTGACCAGACATAGGGTTTGGATTGATAATTGCATTTACTTGACGCCTACAACATCTAACTACACAAATCACTGTAACACTCTCACTAATCTACAAATTTTGCAAATCACTACAGCACAGGCTATTCAATTAAGTCTCAGTATGTTATAGTTTTCACTGGTTGTTGCTAGATATACGCTCAAAATAATGCATATTCCTGTGCTTCCATGTTCCTGTCCTTACTTGCTGGTGACTATCTCATAACTAACTTCAAAGTCAAAGTCAAATTGCGACTGATGGTCGGTCAGTCTGTCTGTCTTGGTGTTGAGCCCCAGCTGGGCTCATAACAAGAGGTTTCTTCTAATATGAAAGTTACTGTCCTGTCCATTTGGGGCGACCTCTCTGCCCTGGTTATACACAATCATTTCACTTCACACTTCCAGTTCCGCTTGTTAACCTCTACTCGAATTCACCACATGAATCGAACTCAAGTCCTCACTCAATCACTCTACCTCTGAATCCTCTCTCTGCAATAATCACTCTGCCCGTCCTCACGCAATCTCAATCTCCTCACAACTAACTTCTCAAAGTCAAAGTCAAAGTTACATTGCGACTGAGTCGGTCGGTCTGTCAGTCGGTCAGTCTTGCTGTCAAGCCCCATCTGGGGCTCATGACCAGATATTAATTATTACTGTTTGANGGTCTGTCAGTCGGTCAGTCTTGGTGTCGAGCCCCAGTTACTGTTTGACAGTTACAGTCTTATTTTTGAGGGGCGCCCTCTCTGACGAGAGGACGATCTGTCTTTTGCTTATGCTGCTGGCCCTTGCCAGCGTGGTCTTTCTCGGGTCCGAGTCCCTTGGGACTCATGACCATATTTAACTGTCTCAGATTCGAGACTTCCCGTTTCGTTGCCTCCTACGACTCGCAGGGTCATGGTGGAGGTATTCGACCCCGCCTCCATACGGGAAACTAACTTCTCAAATTCCTCCTTGCTATATAGCCTCAGTACAGACCTCACAGAGAACATCACTTCTAAGAAGAATTCCTCCACTGTTGAATGACATGTTATGTGGGCTGTTGCCTAACATTGGCCAGGGTATTGTTAATGTGGAAGCGTGTTTTGGTTGCCACTGAAATATGTTTACTGACCATTGCCTAGCAATGAAGGTCCATTCTTGTTGAACTATTCTGGCTTTTAGCCATCATGTCACAATATAAAGTAGTTTCTCCAGCCTTTAACTTATATTTTCAACTGCATTCTTTCCTTTCACACAAAAATATCCATAAATACAGAAAAATGATAGTCAGATGGAACAAAAGAACAAAACCTGAACATCAATATAATCTAATTCATGTAAGCAAAAACTAGCATTCTCATCAGAAGTTCAATCACCACAATCCAACTAGAGCCAATATCAGTGTCTGAATTTAGCACACTTTCCATCCTACTTTTAATGCACAGCGTCTAGGGCATTCTATCCTGCCTTTAGGAGAGTTAAACACCAGTACTTTAAAATCAAAACCCCAATCTGCCCACAAACAGACTACACAGATTTAAAATAATGTTCACAATTTGGTAACTGTTGTGACAGTCACTACGAAATCACAGCACTGCTCCCGAGACATAGAGACAACTGGCAGGCACTTCATTATGTTGGCACTCACCCTCTTGCAATAGCTCCACGACTCTTTCTTCACTGAGGTCCACCCTCGATTCCGTTCTTGTTCTCCCTCCAAACATTCACGCTGCTGCTTGTGAGAAGCCACCCTCCTGGCCTGACTCAACAGCTCTGTCTGTGTCCAGGTATGTCCCCTTAACAGAATCACAGGTTTATGTTTGTTATTAGTGTTGGCCATCAAAGGTATGACTCTACTGTCCTGGCACAGCAACATGAACAAATTGCAACAGTGTGCCAGAAACTTTCCAAGATGTAAATCCCTTGACTTGTCTTATGTACAGTGCTCTTTGCTCACATTTCATACAGCAACTTTTCCAACTATTCTACTAAATACGAGTATTATGAATTTCTGTATACACTCTCCAATAAATTAGATTCTGGGGCACAGAGAGATGATTGTACTGTTGCATGCTGCAACTGAAACAATTTACACTGAAGTTTCTGTCCAGTCCATTCAGTTAAAGCTGGAACTAATCAGTACCAGAACCATAAGCACACCAATATGTGACTTCATTATTTATTTATATAAAACCTTCCTGATGTCTTCATGGCACTCACTCATTTGCCCACACAGTGAAGCTTGCCATAGCAATGGACATTAGAAATAACCCAGTTAAGCAAAGTGGTAACTATATGCATCACCTTCTTTAACATTAAAAACTTATGTATTTTGCCCCCAACACAGTATATTTACGTGTTTCATATGAGTCTTACAATGAACAATGATTATTTCCCTAAACAGATTTAAGTAGTTTGTCTTTGTAATGTAGTCGCAGTGCGTTTTCTGTGAGATATGAACATCAGCCTTCAAATGGTTATGATGCTGTGTTAATACAGTGTCAAATGAAACATTACGGGATGCTCATAAATGATGCTGTAGCAAATTTTAAGGTACAATCCCACATCTTCTTGGATGGCAGTTTGCTCTATAAGACAACACTTGGAGATTCAAAATTAGGCCTACAGACACTCACGTGTATGTGCGTGGTGAATTCTTTTTGTCACTGGCAATGATATCAGCAAGCCCAAGCTCACATTTTTTGGGGCTGCATAAGCTGGTGTGAGGCTGCTGTCTCCTGATGGCACCATGTGGAGGTGCTGTGTCCACTGTGCTTTTAGCAGAATAGATGCGGCGGTAGTGGTTGCTCATGTGCGTGTAGAGCAAATGGTTCCGAACAGATGGCTGGCACACTGTGCACAACATATCAAAATATCAGTATGCCCACCAAAAAGAAAAAGGTATGAATGTTATGCCACTGACATGCAGACAGGCAGATACCATGGGTGGCATGCCACTTCAAGTACTACAATTTATTTGTATTAGGACAGAAAAAATACTCTAATTTTACATAAAATAACCTATTCAGACAAGTGGTATGATATAAAAGGTATCCCCATTAACAGGCTGTAGAGGTCCATAGGGTTGTGAGATGTTGAGGGTCCCACATTTTCTGGACAATGGGCTCACAGATGGCGGTAAGGTTGTCAGCTTTATGCGCCGGCTGCCCTTTACCCCCAGAAATAATGTTTGTACCCATTTCTGATAGAGGCTGAGTCGATCCCAGGGCCATAGTGCGGCTGGATTAGGTCAATTTAAAAAATCCACCTCATTGGGAGAGTGGTATGATGTATAGTAATTTAATACTAATTTGTGAAATAATTACTATAAAGCAAAAGGTAAAATACAAATACAATAAGATGTGTATGTGTAATTGTGATTTCCTAATGGCTATAATATCTGTATAATATCTAAGTAGTCATGGAGCATATGAATAATCACTCGATTAAATAACCGCAAAATGAAGTAAAACAGTAAATTGTGTTGATTTGTTGTGGCAACAGTAGAATCTTATGCAGTATCAACTTGAAATGTTAAGTTGGCATGAACTTTATCTGACAGTATCTGAGGTATATATACAGGTTTTTCATGAAGCTTTCCTTGTAGCCAGGTATTATGGGGTTAATATTTTGTTGTGTAGCATTCCTATTAATATTGTGTAGGGCAATGATGACACTAAATCCTTTTCTGAAGTTCAAGGTCTCCAGAAATAAATGACGTGAGAATCACAATGCATTCCAATGGACAGTTATCATCACAAGAAATACTAAAGTTTAGACTAACACTTGCTTCTTGCTCATAACTGGGCTTTAGTTAACATATTAATGAATGTTCTAGTTCCATACAAGGCAGAGACTATCTGCTTCTGGAGCAGTTAATACACACTTACTGTTTCCTCCGACACAACTCAGTGGTTTCATGATGGCTATCAGCTTCCTGTAAAGCAATGACATAAAAGCATTAACTTCTAGCAGTTTATACTTTGACCAGTGGGTCCTCTGCCCCCATGGGATGACTGCACTGAATAAGTAGTCAGAGACAGCCAATAATGAGTAGTCCTCTTGTCTGGAGTTTAGCTCAACCCACAACCATAAAACAACAGCAGATTAAAAGATGTTTCACAGGGGGACAAACTTGGACAGATTCTCAGGTGTGACTTAAGCATCAGGAAATTAACATGAAATGTGGGATTAGGACTGCTGGCAGTATGTATACCAGCAGGAGGTTCTTGAGAACATGGAAGTGGATAAGCAGTTCCACAAAAGGAGAGATTTCTAGACAGCTTAATGATTACAAGTTTCTCAGCAAGACACAAACTACAGCCAGATGTGAAGGAACCAAATTTCTTCTCTTTTACACTTGATCTTAGCAACATACGAAGCTCATCCAGACAGTAAAGACTGTTTGCACATAACACATACTTGCTGATTTGGCCTGGGACATTTTTTCCCATCTTCCCTACAGTCTGGACCTCGTTGAAAGTGATTTTCACTTGTTCACAAACCTGAAAGTTTTGAGGCAGCACAAGCATGGGAACTGAAGAAGAAGTGAAGAAGACAGTTAAAGACTGGCAGCAGATTTCTATGATGCAGGCATACAGAAACTCGTCACACAAGATGACAAGTACTTAAACAGGACAGCACCTTGCATGCAGACTTAGAAAACAATAAAATGACATGCACATGCACACACACACAGAATAAGAAAGCTTGTGCACATCTTCTGAAAACAACAAAACTAAAAGAAAAAAATTAAATGTACTGTTCAGAATATTTAAGTTATTAGTATGGGTGTCATGGAGATTACAGTTCTGCATATGCACAAGCTTTCATTTATCAAGTGTTGCCATATCTACAATGAAAACAAATTTTGCCACTTGTGTAACACCACTTCACTATCATGGTTCATGATGAGATGTAAGCCCTCACCTTGTTGCCAGGCTAGTCTCATCTTCATCACACAGCTCACTGCAAGACAAATGGGTCATGTTAGCATACATGAACACCATAGCACAGCAGGCATATTCAGTACCACTTACATCAATACATCTGTCAGTTCCTTCTCACCACATCTGTTGCTTTAAAAACACTAGCATGTGCAATCAGTTTTATTCTGGTGATACAAGCAACACTGTGACATCTGGTTCTTTGATTTTGCAACATTAATTGATAAACTGTTAATGCAGGTCAGAGATTATAAGCATGTCCTCAAAATTTTTATGTAATACACTTTGAGAAGTGGTTATGGAGATACAGATCTAAAGGCTATGTCTGCAACTTATAAGGCACTGAAAATCTGTAATTCCATCACATTCAAAGCATGATTTTTAAGTTCCATTTTAATACTATCCTCCCATTTAGGCCTATGTCTTCCATTCAATACTTCTGAGGTTTTCGAATTGTGACTATTTATTTACCAACTTTTCCATGACTGCTGCCTGCCCTGTCCATGCCAGCCCAAATAATTTAATCACTCTAATATTATCTGCTGAAGAGATCCTCATTATACATGTATCCAGGCTACTCTTGCATTCTCTCTCTTGCTCGCTTTATCACATAGAAAGTAACACAACCAACAAAACACATTGTCCCCAGATTAACTACAACAATCTAAGAAATTTAAAATCTTACCACAGCAACTGACAGATGAAATCAAAAGGTGGAATATGTCAATATAGAACCACAAAGTAATGTACATACATGCTTTTCCCTTCACTCCCACCCCTTGCTTCACTTCATAGCCTTAGGTTCAAACGTAAAAAACGCTAGGAAACTATATTTCATGAGAATCACCATTTCTCCTGTAAAACAAAAAAGGTTTGTGTGCTACCTTCTTCACCCATCAGAACACCAGTTTCATACTAAGGAATAACAACGCCCTAAACTTGTGTTAAATTAAATAAAAGTGAAAATGATTAAATCAAGAAGGTGGCAATATTACTACACACACACACACATACACACACACTAAATAGTATAGGCCATGCAGTAAATCATACCACATAAACTACACAACACAACAACCGTCACAATCGACATCCTGGTAATATGAAAGAAGATAAATTTGTGCTCTAGAAATAGTTAACAGAAACGAATCTAGCCAATAATAAAAAAATCTTACAACAGAAACTGTCACTAAGCTGAATACGGCATACGACGCTTTTAAATTAATTTTAAAAATTAGTAAAATTAAACTAATTTTTTAACTTTCAGTTCTTATATACCTTGTAATAAACATATAGCAGTTAGAATATAAATGTACATAGAAAGTAACCATTTTATGACTATGTATGTAAATATGAATACACGCTTTACAATTCAATAATGAAAATGTGTACATCACAACACCTAAGGATGACCCTACAAGGGTCGAATCATGTAGTGGAACATAAGTTAATAAATTATAGTTGCGCTGACGGTGGAATCTGTATTATTAGCTGTGATACCGTTCTGAAAATTGACTGGTTCTGCATATTCCCGTTAATGATGGAATATTTTAGGTTAAATGGATTTTGGGTCACTCCTTATACAGAACTGAGGTCTTTAAATAATTAACCTAATTTGGGTAACGTACATTCAAATAAATTTCAGCAGAGTAACATATCCATCAACCAGGTATTGAATGACATAGTACCTAACTGTACCTACCTTACTTTCTTATGTAGGAAATATTTTCACTACTGTTATCCCCTACATTTCAACATTCACACTTTTAGACACTTCAACCGACATTTTATCTTCGACTGTAGCTTCCGGTGCTTCCGATAGATTCGTTAGTTCGTCTGGTTTTGGTCTGGCTCGTCTGGCTGTCATCTATGCCCCATCTTGTGACAAAATACTGAAACATCCGACGCAAGTGGTAATGTGTGTGCTCACGGGAAGTAAATAATAATGATCGATAATGATCATAATGACCACCAATGAATGTTCTGCGAAGGTTAGTGTTTGGAAAGAAAGGGAGACAGATTTGTTAGGAGAGTGTTATCTTTCGAAAGGTAAGTTAATTCTAACAACTAATCGTGCCATACATTTTATACCACAGTATTTGAGTACACATACAGTCGTAAAAGGGCACATTTGTGCACGTGGAGTCATACAGATTGCAATTTAATGTATTTATTAAACACTCGAGTTACGTGCAGCCCAGCTTGCCACCAGAATTTCATAATGATTTACAAGTCTCATTGTCACTTAGAGAAAAGGGGCAGCACTAATGAACCAGGCACAGCAGTTCGTGAATACGACAGTGAAGGAGAAGTAGACGTGAACGGATCCAACCCAGGATGGGCCGATGCTATGACTAGAGTCCTCAACTCTAAGAAACCGCGGAAGTGTCGGTCCATTGTTTTGTCTAGAGCGAAGAAGCTGAATGAGCCTGCTAAAACTGTAAAGGAGGAAGAAACAGCATTTGAAGTGGGAGGTATAAAGCAGGAAGTTGCAAGTCCTGAGAAGCACACAAGAAGGAAGGTTAGTAATAGTACCTGCCATATCCAGATCATACGTGGTATATTTGGCGTTCTTATTGCACAAGAAATTGCCCCATTTTCTCCCTCACCCTCCCATTCTGGGTGTAATTTTCTATTGCTTCTGCAGCAGCAAGAACTGCAGTGTAAATTCAGAGTGAAGCCAAGCATTCTGGATCGTGACCGTGAGAAGAGGCTCAGCAAGATTGCAACCAGGTGCGTACATGCCCCATAATCTCTGTATCTTGAGCTTCTTTCTTTAGACACTTATACGCAGAAATATTTGTCTTGTCACTGTGTGTAACTACTGAACTTGCACAAGTTTTCTTCAGATTTATGAGGCAGAATGGAAATAAAAATTCAACTCCCTTTTTTGACACCTTACAATAATTTGTTTGGGACCAGGGGATTTGAACACAAACTCAAAAAAATCTTAAATGGAGGTAATTTTACAATGAGTTGGATTTGGGATCATTGAAACTGGACACTAAATGAAGCAGAAATCAAGACCAACTTTGTCTAGTTGTCCCAAATGAGCAGAATCCTTTGCCCTTTTTTTTTACCTGATGACAAGCAGATCTACCTTCCTAAACATCATATAATTTACATATACATAAAGTGATGGGCAATATCCAACATAATTTTATGAAATATGAAATATAGTGACATCAGTGTGAGAAGTACAGTAAACACTTGCTAATCTGGATCGATGACAGATTATAAAGTTTCTTGTAATTTTTATGATGTACTAGTGACAATAAAGAAATTATTTTTAGTTTGAAGTGAGTTGTCATGTTCCATGCTTTTTGCAATGGCTTGCAGAGGTGTGGTGCAGCTCTTCAATGCAGTACGCCAGCAGCAGAAAAGTTTGGAGTCCCAGCTGAATGAAGCTGGTAGCTCAGAAAGGAAGAGGGATAAAGTGATGAAGTCACTAGACAAGCGAGCATTCCTAGATATCCTGATGGGCCATTCTCACAGTGAACCTGTGGACAGTTCCATCAAGTTGGAGGCTGAACTGAAGGTAAGAAGGGCATATATGCAAATGAGGACCTTGAAGATACCATGTAGTGGTTGTATATCCTTCAATTACATTGCAGGAGGAGAAGTCCCCTACGTGGCATGTTCTGCGTGATGACTTCATGACAGGGACAGCTCGACTCAAGGACTGGGACAAAATCAATGCGCCGACATGAAGATTGATGGACTTTGCTGCTAATATTAGTTCTTGATGAAAGTAAATTCTGGAAATTGTTATTCAAATTCACATAAAATCTGGATTGAGAGCCAAGAATACGTTGTAAAATTATAAGAATTGTATATATTGCTCATTGCATAAAAATATCGAGATGAAAATCTTAGATTTATTAAGCATTGTAATAACATAAAAGTGAAAGTCATATGAAAGGCATGTTGATAACATTATATGTTTGACATATTTTCTTCCAGCGCTTCTATTTGTGTCCATTTGGAGCTGCTTTGTGTTCATAACGACAAATAAACCTATGACAGAGGCACACTAAAGCTAGAAGTAAGCAGGGTTGCCAACCTCTCCCTATTAATGTTGCTTCTTTTAGCTAAAGCAGGAGAGTATGAAGGCAGCATTCTTATTCTAATTACATACTGACAGTTTCTTTCATTTCTCGCTGACAGATGCCTCTGTGAGTAATAAAAGTCATGCATGTGCCAGCATTAGAATATATATATATATATAAGGCAGCAGCAGTAGTAGTAGTAGTAGTAGTAGTAGTAGTAGTATTAGGAGCAGCAGCAGGATTTGCCAGTCCTCAGATTACACATAATTGCATCACTGTCAGAAGACTACTGCCATACCCAATGGCTCTGGCACGTGACACCAACATTAATGATACGTGCTTCTATTGTGACTATCATCTGACAGGCTTCTGCAAGGGGTATCCTGTCACATGCAAAAAGGAGAATTTTATATGGCGCCAAAGTTACTTTCAGGAAATGCTTAGGCAGTAATCTGTGTAATCTAGAAGCATCAGTCTGCAATCTATATATGAGAAGTGGCAACCCTAAACAGTAGAAACAGACAGAAAACAGCTTGATTGAGCACACAGACAAAATTTGTGAGGGTAAACACCCTACTGCAATGGTTGTGGTGTTGAAATCAGGTACAGATTGCTTGATGCAGCAGTTCACAACTTTGGTGTTTTGATCTGAGCTGTCTCTCCCTGCTTACATTCTTGCCACTGCTGCATCTCCAAAAACTGAAACATAATATTGGCCCCGCAGTTGGTACACTTGTCACGTCATGATATGGCTATTATGGTCACATTTCTGAAATTACCAGCAATTCCAAGTAATCACATTAAGTTCTTTATGTATTACAGATACAGTGGTTGAGGTTTAGTGATCAAACAGCCCACCATAGCACACGACACCACTACCTCAGCAAACTTGTCACTACAAACTGAGAAGCACCAAGTTATGCGTGCATAAATTATGAACTAAACCAAATAAAACCACAGGCCATCAAAAGAAAATGGTTTCAAATAAAATAAAAGCAATAGGTATTGTAAGTTGAAAGAAACTCGTTTTGAGTGAGCATGTCACATGCATGCCCAGTATCACACTCTGCTCTCCCGGATCTCTCCTGGCTGGTACTCTTCATTCACAGTTTCTGGTGTCTCTTGCACTTGTACCTGCTGCAGGATTTCATCATAGGATGGTGGCAGGTCAGCCATGCTTTCAGATCCAAAAATGGATTCGTATGTTGGAGGCAGGAGTCCACCCAGTGTAGGAGAAATGCAGCCATCCTTACTGTTAGTCTCAGAGTCCACATCCAGGATACTGGGTGTGCTGCCTGTGAGGCTGTTGAGTGTGACATTGAGGGTGGGTCGCTGTTGAGCCTGCACAACATTCTCGCCGAGCTCAATAAGATCAAGTCCGCTTGTGTCTGCCTGCAGCTGTGCAAACACAGAGCCATCTACCACAAGCATGCGCCCATAAGGCAGCAGAATTATTGTTGGAGTGGCCACCATGCCCTGGTCCACACTCAACCCTATGTCAGATGGTGATGCCTCAATATCTCCCTGACTGTTTGCTCTGTTCACGTGGCAGCAGCAGCGACGGCGGCAGAAAGAGCGACAACATGGTGCCCCCCAGCAGCAGTAAGCAAGAATGAAGCACAAAACTGCAATCATTACTAACAGGGCTGCCAACCCTTGTCCTTGCTGAGTGTGTATGACAGTGGGTCCTCCTCCAGATGAGGTACCCATCTTTCCTGCAAACATAACAATGTGACAAATTAACACAGCTGCTTGACTTGAGGCCTCGTGGTAGCAGTAGGGTTACATTCATCTGTGAAGGAGTTAGAATCTGTGAATGGTTCAGAGAAGCTAATGAATATACACATCATGTGTATGAAGAAATCGCATTTAACCCAGGATATTAGCTATAACTAAATATTGCATAACTAAATATTTAAATATAAAAGAATGTGGGCAACTGGGCTAGCACAGTCAGTATAGCGACTTGCGAGGGGCTGGATGACTGATAGGTCAGAGTTTGAGTGCTGATAGGGTCAAGAATTTTCTCCACAACATCCAGACTGGCTCTGGGGCCCACCCAACCTCCTATCCAATGGTTACTTGATCTCTTTCTTCGGGGGTAAGTCGGCCAGGTCATGAAACTGACCACTCATCTCCAACTTGTGCCAAGGTCAAGAAAATGTGGATTTATACATACACCACTCCCCCATGTGTCTTTATGGTATAGTGATTAATTAGTTAACCACAGGGACAACTGTACCTTACCTTTTATCTTATAAAAAATGTAGTTAGATCCTGTGTATGGTAACAAACCATGCTGTTCATTCATCCAATAGACACATGGACAATATAGATTGTACAAAACATAAATATTTATGTCTTTTATTGGAAACATTTTTTGGTTTGTCATAAAACAAACATTACTATCTATATCCAGGGTCAGTGGATGCTGGCTTAATTCATGGAGTCAAGACAAGAATTGCTCTTGCTAGACAATTCTCCATAAGTCACACTTGTCTACCCATGTTTTATCTGTTTGGTACCAACCAATGGACACCAGCAGGGAGGAGGGGACTAGGCATCTGCCTACCCCTATCGGATTAAAGAGGTGAAATCAAAAAACAAAAAGAAAAGACACCAAATATTGATAATAGTTTGACATGTCACAGTATTTTTAAATACATTAGTAAAATTGTTTTAAATTAATTAAATATAAGTTTGTAAGCAAATTTGCTGCCACCCCAAAAGAGAATCTTGACAGCACCCGTACACCAGCCTATTTACTATCGCATAACATACTGCCATGTATAAAATATTTATATGAGACATCAACAGGGAAATAGAAAAAAGGGCTGGGATAAAATACTAATGACTAATTTGATTTGTTTCATTCTGGTTTGTCACACTAACAATACTACACAAGATAAAACAACTCCGTCCAGTATGACTGTTGAAGTTTTTACTACTTCAATTCTTAACACCCTTACACATTTTGGTCCCTATAGACCATCATCAGAGGGACATCGATGCTCTTTGGAAACCACTATTACAATGAGTCTTTTGAATGTTAAAATATATACACATACAATGTTTGTAATGCACAATATATACAAAATCCAAAGTTTTCACAACTATAAGTTTTAAAACTTTAATATATCAAGACAGCTGCTGTAGTTGTGAAAACTTTGGATTTTGTATATATTGTGCATTACAAACATTGTATGTGTATATATTTTAACATTCAGAAGACTCATTGTAATAGTGGTTTCCAAAGAGTATTGATGTCCCTCTGATGATGGTCTACAGGGACCAAAACGTGTAAGAATGTTAAGAATTGAAGTAGTAAAAACTTCAACAGTCACACTGGATGGAGTTGTTTTATCTTTTGTACTAATAACTAAATTAAAAGGTTGATTGGCCTTCACTTTTCACTTGCCATGGATGAGCAGGTGAGTCATTCTGTTGAGTCCTGAAAATGTCAGATCTACGAGTATTTTGGCTTTGTAAAGACGACTGGCTTCTTAGATGGCTATTCCGAGACTGAAGCTTTCTCGTCGAAACTGGGCTTTTATAACCTCGGCCGCTGTTATGCAACGAACCCTTTGTTATAACCATGGAGACTCCTGTTAGAACTACAATGGAGCAATTGTTGTTTCCTATGCAACGGTCTATCCTAGCGTTTCCATAGAAGTGACACTTCTGGATTCCAGACACGTTACAATACATTAAATTTCTGAAGAGAAGTTCTGACTTCTGAGAGGTAACTGGTACATGCAATACCATCAGCACCGATCAGTAAATTTTCAAATGTGAGTTAATGCAAATATATCTGTTTACTGAATAAATATTACAACTTTAAAATAAATGACTCCACAACTGCTTCACCATGTAGTGATGTCACAAGATGATGCATGGCATAGCTCACCATGTTGGTTGGTTTGACGCAGAGCTTCCATCTTCACATATGTCCCCTGAAAGGAATCACACGTAACTTTCTTATTGAAACAAAAGTACATGGATTCTTTGAAATCGTGCATCCTGCAGATACTGCTCTAGTATCAGTACAGATATCACACTGCATTCAGTTCATGTCATACTCCCTTTTGTTTAACACTGAGCTGTTCCCAAATACTGATTTGAATTTCACATAAAACAGAAATTACAGTGGACTGGTATAAACCAGAACGAAATTTGGATCCCACCCCCCATGTGAAACTTGACATCCAAGATTTGAAGTTGCAGATGGAACCTGTTCCCTAAGAGATTATCTTCGATTACACACTGACTGTAAGTTGTGTGTACTGGGATCGAAAGACCAGTTCAATTGCACCAGAAGCAGAATCAGGTCACTCTTGTGATATAAATAAATAAACTTTATGTGTAGTGAAACAAAATTTTGTTGGAAAATTTCTTTCATCCATAGACTAAAGAATGAGAACTTTGGTAAAACTATGTCTAAGAATTTATGAGATATTGGTCTGTGTCAATATATTTATAATCATAAGATTTGCATTTTTCACAGCAGTGAAGATTCGCATTGCAGTGTTTTTGGTTATGTAGTCTGGTAGGCGAGTACCTATATTTCAGAGAAATATATTATCATAATTTATGTGTGTGACTATAGATGGGGTATGGATTGGTAAGTGGATTTATCAACTACTTATATACGCCACTCAGAACTACAAGTTATTACAGTGCCACTGCTAATCTCCACAACACCCACTAAGCCGTTTTCCAGCTTATTGTGTCTTCAACGACTGTTCCCTAGCAATGACTTCTAACAGTGGAGATTCTTTGCCTTCCCATGCTCACGTCATTACTGTTAGGCAAATATCCTGCAACTGAACTCACTCAGCCAAATCGAAGTCACATTGTGAATGATGGTCAGTCAGTAAGTCTTGGTGTTGAGCCCCAGTTATTACTGTTTGGCACGGTTTTGTTTTTATGGGCCACCCTCTCTGATGAGAGAATGGGTCTGTCTTTTGTATATTCTGTTGGTTCTTGCCAGCACAGTGTTTATTGAGAACTGAATCCCTTGAGGCTCACCACCATATTTTACTGTCTCAGATTTGAGGCTTCCCTTTTCATCACCTCCTAAGACTCACAGGATCACGGTGGAGGTATTCGTCCCTGCCTCTACCAGCCAGCCTGGAGTCTTCACTATATAGCCTCGAGGCAGACCCAGCAGGAAACACCAGCCTCCAAGTTTTCTGTGTTGTTGCTATGGGTGGTTGCCTAGTGACAGTCTGGACATTGTTTCCACAGGAATGTGTTTACTCACAAACGGCTGTTTGTTTACCCGCCTATTGCATAGCAATGGCTGTACTCATCAGTTTGAAGGTCTCTGCCCAGCAACAGGTCTATATGTCATAATATTGGCTACACCTTCAACGCAGAAGTGACTTCCATCCTGAAGATGCTGAGTGTGTCCCCTTAGTATGGTTCCTATATACCAGACTGCATAGTGTCATAACCCAGAAAAAAACAATCTGGATATTTATTGTTCTATATTCATATAATTTTATACCACGCCGAAACTTTTTTCAAAGGAACATTCCTATAACAAAGAGGAGAAAATTAACCCAAACCACTGGAGTACTATGAACTACTAGAAATATCACGCAAAATCTGTACTGCAGTGTTCCCAATTTAAGCACATGATTTACAGAATAAGCACACTGTATTTCTTATTGTTGATTCTACTCATGAGTTTTTGGGCATTGTTGCTGACATTTTAGACGTGCATAATGCCTCCATCTTTAGGGTCGAAGTCAGTAGGGTGATTAAATGTGAGCGATTTGATGGTGGAAACCTGTTCCTACAAAATGGGTACATGGCTCACCTCCACACGGGCAAACTTCCAAGGGCAGAATCAACGAAAACGATGAACCACAGTGAAAGCCTAAAATCAGTAACCTTTTATTTCTCATCCAGATGGAGGTCGCTATCTTCTTGACAAGAGCTCAGCGAGACCTCTGTGTAAATGACGGAACCGAATTAGCTAGACTGAATCATGTTACTTATTAATTGTACATATCGTTTCCCTACAAACCATAGCAGCGCGCGCGCGCGCGTGTTCGTATATAGTGGAATAGTAAACAGAAACTTACACTCCATGCAGCTGTTGGCCTTAGACCCTCTTACGTTCCAGTCTACCAACTATTCTAGGCACCAACACTGAAGATGGAGGCAGGAGGTTCCTCCAAAACGCTATTAAACATCAATAACATTACATACCGTGGTATTCTGGGTTTTGACACCGCGCGGTTTCGGAGCTTACCGGCCGTCTCCATCTTCATGTCTGTTGCGACCACATCGACAGTAAGTCACCTCACAGCACTAGTACCCACCTACCCAGACTAAACAAGTCTCAAACCTCAGGCCGAAATGCTGGATAGGCACAATCCACGCCCATTTATTGGACACCAACAACAAAAGCCTACAATCGCGAATGAAAGTATTTCTCAAAATCACATGGCCCAATCCTGCAGCTCGCAGGTAGCAAACGTAAACATCATTCCGTTGCTCTCTTGCACACAATGCCCGGTTCGAACCTCAGCCGTTTGAGACGCTCGTCGCGCAGACTCGGACGTATCGACTGCGACTTGAGTGAACAAGCAGTAGGACCCGACCTCATGACGCTCATGACGGAACAGACACAGACAGTATCAGAAATCGCCATTATATGTGATGCCCAGCCGCTTTCCGTAAGATGCAGCTCAGTATGAGGTTCTCATTCCCTCGGTCTGAAAAGTCGTCACGACGCTCCGCGCCAATATTCTGTACTCGTATGTTTCTTCTCCCGCTCCAGCCGCATATCTAGGCCATTCCGCCTTGAAATGCGCATTTATTGACAATGAATCATGAAGTTCCTCATCAAGCGATGTCGTGCATTGTCATTCCCATTCATTCTTATATTTTCACGTATATGGAAAATTTATAACGTATTATTGTTGTCACAGTCAACGTACTTTGCGTCTGTCAAATGTTACCGGAACCCACTGTGACATAATCTGCGTAATTACCGAACGCCTGAGCTATTCCCCTAGGTATAGGTACTAATTTCAGGATGCATTTGGGAACCACCGGGAAAGCCAGCCACTCGACCTTATTCTGTCACGCCGGATTCACAACTCCACAGTCAACGTCTCTAAACCCATTTTAATATTATTACTCCATTGTGTCATCCCATTAGGTTTGTGCCCTTCGATTAACATTAATCTGAGCGTTGTCATGCACACCACATCCATAACTGAAATCAATCCCATTCTTTATTACAGTGCCAATGTGTTCAAATCACGTATCTGACCTACGTCATGAAGGAATGCAAATGGTTGCCACGGGAAAGGAGCCACTCATGTACTCCAGGAAAAACTTCAACTGCTTGACTTCCATATTGTTATGTTAGCTGTGATCCCAGCTTTCTAATGAAAGTAGATCTGTAAGAACGAATATCGATTAAAGTTAATGCACGCACTGCGGCCTGCATGACCTTGGACGAATGTTGGATAAAACAAAGTATGCAACAAGCAGAAAATGGCTGAAGGAAAGAAATAAATTTCGGCCATTTTCAATAAGCCGGGGCAGGTGAAATATACTACATACTATCAGCAATGAAGAATAATGGAGGGATGCAGACAAATGTTCTACAAGACTTCTTGCCTCAGTAGCCTCGGTAGTCGGGTACAAATCAATTGTTGAAAAATAAGCCGTCTCTAAGGAGTATCTATGCTGTACGAAAAAAGGTGGGGGCAACATTGTGTGGATGGAAATTTAAATTCGCAGTAGAGCTTTTACTGTGGCTTACCTAAACATCATCAGATTGGTTCGGAGGTGAAAAATACAGACTGTCAAAACTCCCTAATGTCTGATCACGAATTTGTACGAAGAACACTTTTGCCTTCGTGGCGGATTCTATTATGTGCGTTATTTTACGACGCTGTCAGTAGCTAAACTATATAGAGTCGAATGATAGGATGACGGTAACGATTTGCAAAGAAAGCCCCGTTCGTCGTGACGGTGTACTTGTATTGAATCATATTTCTCACACTGTAAGTTGCTGCTTTCCTAGCTACGCAGCAAATTGCAATTGTCATGTTTACCAGCGTCATCTGCCGATGTACCGGGACACGGGTTTGAGTGGTATTCATTCGGTGATGTTAAAATGATGAAATGTCATTAATTGTCCAAATTGGTGCAAGATTTATGACGATGTTAGCTTAAATCTGGGATATGCTTGCTAGTGTTTCATTCAGGAGTCTCGTCTTATCTGAACGTAAAAATTTAAATACGCAACTGTCATCTTTCCAGCTGTTTTATATTGCTGTGCCACTTGTTCTCTCATTTTTAATGAATAACGACTGAGGATAAAGTGCTGAGGGATAATATTTGGAAGCACAGAACAGAATGGAGATGATCTCATAATTTCTGCTCCTAATCTACTAAGCCTAAGGCGATTAAATGAAAGGAGCGTACATGAGTGGAATATGTAGCAGATATAGAGATATAAATTCATAAGGACCACAGAGTTTACATAGGAAAACCTTAATATGCACAAGAGAATGATTGGTAGACAGGCATAGAGGCAAGGACAATATTAAAACGGAACTCAGAAAAAGCAGAACTGGAGGGAATACACTGCATTCATGTGGCTCAGAATAGGGCCCAAGGTGGGCTTTTGTGAAGTGGAATTTCATTACCATCTAGGTAACTATCAGCTCTTCAATAAATCCAATTTAATGTTTACACCCAAATTGACCAGAGGGTCTGAACCATGGTAGGCAAGGAATAGAGGCTATTGTTTCTCATTTTTGTTCATTTTGTTTTGTGTATCTTCACTCTGTGTTTTTCATATGCTGAGATTACTTCAGATGTGCACTATGTGCCTTGCTAGGGCACCACTGAAGTTGTGTGGTGTGAAGACTCCAGAACCCTGTGACAGGGATCAGCCCTGCAGGTCTGAGCCAGATGACTCCAATTACACTGATCAGATTGGCAAAACGGTATTGATCCATATTCTGGAGATGATCAAATTTGAAACTCTGTTCAGATACCAACTATCCTGAGGTTTATATAGGAATTAGGTTAACCATCAACACAACAAATATACTCACTTTTAATGTGTTACAATTCGATTTTTTATTCCTGCATCATGTTTCGGTCACACAAGACCATCATCAGGCAGTTATACAGGAATACGTTTAGTTACTGAACTGCCGATATGGGTGCAATGTGTCATTATATACTAACAGATAAAATTTGCCTCAAGTTGGTGTTACAATTAAAATAGAAGATACAAAATAAGATAAAAATATATACGTATATCAAGATTTATAGTGTTGAATATATTATGGAAATATTAAATAACATTAACAAATATATTTAAACTATTTAGTATGGGAGGTTAAGAAATATGAATGCCAACTTAATAACTAAGTTGAGGCCACGCCATAGCTCAAGCAGTTAGTCGCTGGGTTCCCACTGCGGCAGCCCGGGTTCTATCCCGGGTCTGGTCAAGTGGGATTTGTGGTGGACAAAGTGGCACTGGGGCAGATTTTCTCTGAGTCGTTCGTTTTCCCCTGCCAATCTTCATTCCACCAATTGCTCCACAATCACCCTCAGCTATCATCTGGGGCTGGTACATTAGACCAGAAGTGGTCGCAGTACAAGGGACTTAGTCCCACCCCACTAGCAATAAAAAAAAGTTTCCAGTGCTATAGTGTAGAATTGGGCATGTTGTATCATTCACAGGTCTTTGCTGTAGAAGACCTATGAAACGACATAATATGCCCAGTTCTACACTGTAACATTGGAACCTTAGTATTAAATTGGCATACATATTTCTTAACCTCCCATACTAAATAGTTTAAATATATTTTCTCAAACATTTTAAAAATAGTTTTATGTTATTTTGTATCTTCTATTTTAATTGTAACACTTGCCAACTTGAGGCAAATTTTATCTGCCAGTTTATAATATGACACGTTGCACTGATATGGATCCATATCGGTAGTTCAATAACTAAACATATTCCTATATAACTGCCTAATGATGGTCTTGTACGACCGAAACATGAAGCAGGAATAAAGAGTCAAATTGTAAAACATTAAAAGCGAGTGCATGTGTTGTGTTGACGGTTAACCTAATTCAACACAAGATGCAACCAATGAAGATACCCTGAGGTTTTCTGTGGTTTTCCTCAATCAACCCAGGCAAATGCCATGTTACATTAACATGGCAACAGCAGCTTTCTTACAGTTCATCCTTCATCAAGCATACTACCATCAGGCACTATAAAGTCTATATACTGAGTCATAAAATAGCCCACATAAAAAATCAAATTCCAGGCAGGTGATTTGACTCACTTTCACCATCTCTCGTGTCAAACTATGTACTTAACAAATTGTTCATATGACCTTCTATGTTGGTGCAGGCACCTTTCCTGTTTTATGAGGCTCCTGTAATGTGGCCCATTATTTTGATATGCTTGAAAACATCATGTTTCCAGAACCAGAAGATGAGGATGTAAAGGTTTTACAACAAGACTGCATTACCTCCTTTCAGCAACTTCGGTTTCATTTCTCTAAATGAAAAATTTGTCAATTGTTGGACAGGGTCACTAGAATGAATGTACCATTTTGTTGGGAGTACATAAAAATTTTATTTTATGGAGCCATTGGTCATGTTGACAGCACTGAAATATTAAAACTCAGAATTGCAGCAACTACTGCAGTCATAACACCAGAAATATTTTAATGTGATTGTCATGGCACATTACATGTGAAACTTTACTAAAGAAATTTTTAATTGCACATCACCACCTTAGTTTTTCTTTCATCTGGTTATGTCTCATGACTGCAAAAATATAACTATTTGAATCACTGACTATATTTTGGGGACATCCTCTATAATCCCCTTCATTCTGGGAGATCTGCTAAGAGCTAGACTCACACACATTTTTCCCCCCCCCCCTTGGTACTACAGCCCCAGTGGGCCTAGGCCTACCTCCATGAACTTTTCTGTTCACTTCGGTTTTTCTAGATCTTAGACATACAGTAGGACTCCTTGGGCGGGTGATCAGCTCGTCGCAAGGCCTCTACCTGTACACAAACACAGAAAAACGCACACAAACATCCATGCCGAGTGGGATTCGAACTCACGATCCCGGCTTCCAAGCAAGCGAAGACAGTGCACGCCTTAGACCGCTCGGCTACCATGACCGGCCTCGCACACAAATAAAGGGTAAAAAATTCCCAGGAGGTAGAAAGAAGGATAGATATTCATACAAAGAATTTCAGAACAAACAATTTTCAGTTGATATGTGAATGTCAGTCTTCATTATATATACATGAGACCTGGCTAAATGTGCTTTGTGTGGATTGTATGTTAATGCAGATTGCTACCTCTATTTTATGTGGCCCAGTACACTAAATGAGACGTAACTCATAAGCTGGCAACATCGGACCTGCATGGTCTAAGTTCGACATTGAGTACTGGCATGGGTGGAGACTACTTGCAGTCACCTCATGTACTCAGACCTCAAATTCGATATCGCAATCTGCACTTATAAAGAATGTGCTTAAAACAGCAAAATGTTATGCTTCCTCTATCTGTTAACAATCACATATACTACACAGTACCCTCAATATGGGTTCCACCCTGTATTGATGGCAAAGTTCATGGGGTTTGCGAATGTCACACAGGTATAGATTATGCCACTGAATGCCATGTGCAGCATGGTTGCCCACTTATTAACTGTCACAGAGGTTAAATGTATCACGCATAACAACTATACAAAAGCCACATTATGCCTCCCTGATATACACCGTCTGTATTACTCAAACAGAACCAGATACATGAACGAACAAAATAAAACATGATTCTGGCAGGACCAGAATCATGAAAGGGCACAATGATGCATCTCCCAAATGGAACTAGATTAACAAATGAATGCACTGAAGTATGACTAGGAGAACTAGATTAAATACGTTAGGTTTTCAACACTGTTCTGCATGTGACTTGCAAGAATTCCCCAAATCTGCAAATTCTTTTACTCCAGATGAAAGTTTGAGGTAATATCATGAAATCAATTCACCTATAACAACACCCCCACCTTTTCATTGTGTAATGGCACTTGCTGTTTAGCGTGAGGATTTTACGCATGTAATTAGTTCAATTGCCGTGGGCCAACTTCAAAATGTGCTGCATAATTTATTTATGTGATGCGAGGCATATTTGCAAGCAGAGGGGGGCCACTTCCAGCAACTGTTATAAAGAACGGTAAATTTCTGTTATCTGTTACAGTATTCCTATAAATGTGTGCATGTACAGAAACGGATGTGAGGGAATCAGAGACATGACTGCACTCTCACTAGTGGGGAAGGGCACAGTAGTTGCGGAGAAATGATCCAATCACCTTACGCTAGCGAGAGTGCGCACATTTATCAGCACTGATGACTCATTCTATCGGCAGTTACAGTAGCAATCTGTGAGAAATGTTGTATCTGACCCACGCCACTATCCTGGTTTCCTCAGTAGTTGAATGCACTGTAGCTTTAAAATGGGCATAAAATGAGATCTGTCTCACATATGGTGCAAGTTTTTCCACTTCTTCTAAGATAGCTGAAACTCATTTTTTCTTTTCAGACAACTTTGGGTGTCTGCTCTTAAAAATCTAGTGGACATAAGGCAGTAGAACTTGGCAGGAATACATGCCTCTATTGGGAGTGATCTCACAAGTCATTAATTTCTGAGGGTGTCGAGTTGTAATCTGTGATGATCTGACATGGGATGACCCATAGTTTATTTAATAAGTCTGTAACTCAGACTACATGGCACCAAATGGCTCTGCCATAGGTCAATGTACTGTGATGGAAATGTCACTCAATGCAAGGGTATACACACGATGGAATATATAGGGTGAGATACTGGGAGACGATCATGAAATGAATGATTAGAAGGGTTGATGGAGATGCTGAAGACTGTCATGGAAGGACTATACAAATGGTAAACCATGACTGAAGACACTGAATCTTTGCTGATTTTGCAGGAACCATCGTATTTATTCCAATTGCACAATACAATATTAAATGAATATCAATATAAAAACACCATAAAAGGATGTGACACGAATCAATGAAGAGGTAATGATCATGTAACTTCAGTGCACACTGATGTGGAGACAAGGCTGAAGGGCGAGTTGCCTGATTAACAATAAATATATCACTAGTACAAAATGTGTATAACATAACGTATATATATCGAGTGTTCATTTTGCAGGTTTATTAGACATCCATGGAGCTTCTCTGTATGTTGTCACGGCACACACTGTGGGAAAGTGGGAGAGGCCGGCAAACTGAAGGTCGTTCATTCAGTTATCACCTGATCACTGAGCCAGTCAGTGTCGGTCAGTGTTACAGAAGCTTCTTTCTAGAGTGTTCTGTTCTGTGTCTTTATGGCTCATGTGAGATACAAATTTAGAATAAAGAGTTTTCAATTATGATTGTTATTTTAGAAAAATCGTAAAAATCGTGCAGAAGAAAACATTCACCACATATTTACCGAATCAACATGTCCATCTAAAGATACAACTACTCTGTTGGGGCCCTTAGAAAGAGCTAATTTCAAATCACTGAATTGGATTGCATGATTGAGGTTAGCTCTTTCTAAAGGAACCAACAGAACAGGTGCCTCTGCCCCTCACCTGAAGATAGAAACAAATCCAGTTTCCAAAATGTCACGTTTTCCAGTTTTTAGAATACAGGATGATGAACAAAGTCCAAAAACCCAGTAATTCCGAGTGTTGTACACCATCGTCTGAACCCTTTAGAATCTACTTGTCTCAGATCTTACATAGCTCAATAAAATGTCATCAAAATCTCATGTCAGTTATGTTAAAGGAAATTCAAGAGAAGGGATGATTACAGCTTCACTCAACATAAAGTTCAAAATTCTCAATCTCATCGAACTGTGCACTCACATTGGCCGCCCATTTCTTCATGATCTTCTCCTGCAACAAAAGGCCCACTCAGTTCCCAACATCATGACATACAAACCCCTTTGTCGGTAACACCACATTGCCCTTCACAAATATCAAGTCTTTTACATTTAAGAAATTAGAAGTCTGTGCAAGATATCTGGAGCCTATTTTTTTCTTTTGCAATGTGATCAGCTCTACCACAGCCAAGATACCTTAAATGTAAAGACTTGTCATTAACCCCATGACACAGACAACAGCTGCTATTACAGAGCAACAGGCTAAGGAATTTATGAACCATGTAACAATTCAGACGTGTACACTCCCTTCTGTTCAATTAAATTTGAAAACCTTAAGACGTACAGAAGAAATGTACTGTGAACAAAATGCCTTTTTCTTTATAAGTTATGTTAAAAATATTTTCTCTGATATTTGGTAAATTACACTAAGAGTGCAGACACACATGAGGTCTGCATATAAATTCTGTGTTATTGTAGTACGAATTTAATCAGAATTGGACCATGTCTACACATTTTAGTAAAACTCCCAAATTTGAGCAGATATCTATATACAAAGACTGTGCAGGCCTGGAAGACATGCAATGAGTTATATAAACATGTTGCTGCCACTGACCTCAGCTGTGGCCTTCTTACTCCTCTTGCTCCGCTTTCTGTTGCATGTTTCATCTTCACGCAAGCTTTCCTCTTCAGAATGTGATTCTCGGCGTGATCTCATTGGTCGTTCATATGACCTGCGTGGCTGCTGCAATACACAAGCACTATTCATATACCCTGACAATTTTGTTCTGAGATGTTAACACAATTTATACTGACAATGTAATAGGCATGTGAATGGGGAGCTGTGAAACCGATACACATTCAAGTTAGACTAGAAAGCAAGAACTTTCCCTAAACACTAAAAAATCAGTACTCATGGAATGTTTGTTTTTATGGTCTCTAAAATTATCGAATCTCCATTCTCAGATGTCAGCCCTAATGGAGAAATCACACAAAGCCCTGTGTGAGGCTCACCTTCATGAAGTGGGTCACTGGGTCACTCTTATCCTCAAAGAGGGCAGGAGGAGACGGGTCATGTATGTCTGGGGGTTCCACATCAGATGCAAGTGAATGCTCAGAAGCAGTGGTGGAATGTAAAGAGACGAGTGCAGCTGTCTGTGCTCTACTTTGCATCAAATTCATGGACATGGCTTCTGGTCTTGTGAAAGTTGGCTTTAGGTTTGGAGTCGAGCTCACTGCAAATGGCACTGATGAGACAGGCTTCGACTCAGGGGCCATCTTCACAGGAGACAGTGACAGATGGAGGTCATCCTCAGATTCCTCATCAAAACCAAAATAGTTGTCAACAGTGAAGTCATCTACTGACTGGATGCCACGAGTGCCTTGACTCCTTCCTGACCATCTCACTGTCATGAAGGTATTTTGTCGCAAAGGGCACCTCTCAATAGGACTAAAGAGAAGGCTTTGCCTACATGAAGATGAGACCTGGCTGGGTGCAGACTCACTGACACTGCAGCTTGGCTCAGAGCCCTCTGCCAGACTTTTGCAAATACTCAGATGACTGCCTGCCACACCAGCAATTTCTTTGTTTCCTGTCATCATAGTTGTGGGTTTGTTCTGAATTACACTGATCTTTTGACACGTGTAAGCTCTGTCGGCAACAGTACCATCTGTGTTCTCTGTTGCTGTCCTCATTTGGCTATCAGAATCAAGGTAAGTCATGCTACCATTGTGTGCATATGCAACTGAAACATTTTCTTTGCTCTCTTCTGCCATATTATGTTGGCTATCAAAGTCATGGTGAGTCACATTAGTGAAATTGGGGTCAGCCACCAAAATATTTCCTTTGTTTTCCATGGTTATTTTTTCATGGCAAGTCACAGGAGAGCTAGCTTGTTTCTTCTGTAGAACTGCCCATTTCTCCCCAGACTTCAGATGTTTCTTCACTGTTACCGCTTGGGTGTATTTATCATATAATGTATCTGACAAATCCACCTTCTTCCTACGCCTCACTTTCCTCCTGTACTTTGATTTCTTCTTTGGCAGAGGCTCATTTTCATCAACCTCAAAGTTATACAGTGCAAGCCTCTCTTGTGGTGGTAAATCTGGGGTTTCTGCATTGTTGCCAAGTTTATAGACGCAGGTCTTTTGCTGACTGCTCAGGTTTGGCTGTGGAATGGCCATATTTCTCCTCCTCCTGAGTGCCATAAGGTTGTTACTGTTTGTTTTATCAGCAAGAACTTTGCACTGGCTGTCCACACAATCAGCTGGCTTGTTCCCAGTCCTGTTGTTGCTCCAAGCCACTCTGGCTCTCAGGGCAGGGCCCATGCTGCACACCAAACTGAAACAAATGTGCACAGAATTCCACATGAGGCAACACTCCACAGCCCTGCAAATACAGTTTTGAACATCAGTTGGTTTTGTGAAGTCTGTGCAAATTTGGGGTGTATGTCCCCATGAAGGGGGCACTGATGGTAAAGAAAATGGAAGAGTGTAACTGGTAATATAGTGCTGACAAAGGACTTAAATATTTTACAGAGATATTAAGGTGATATCTAGTATTAATTCTGTGACAATGGCAACATAAGATTGTATAATATTTAGATTTCAAAATAAGGAAACTGGAACAGCATTCGGGGAGGGGCATAACTGAGGAAAGGGTACAAAGAAACATCCTGATACAATGGATAAATCACAAAACTGGGTAAAAAAAAAGGTAAAGTTGTCCCTTTGCTTAACTAATTAAGCACTATGCCATGAAGGTCTATGGGGGAGTGGATGTATAGATCCACATTTTCTTGACCTTGGCACTAGCTGGAGGTGAGTGGTCAGCTTCACGCCCCTGCCACTCCCCCCCCCTTTTATACACCAGAGCCAGTCTGGACAACATAGAGAAGTGAAAATTCTTGCCCCCACCGGGACTCAAACTCTGACCCCTTGATCATCCAGCCTGTAGCCAGTCATTATACTGACTCTACTAACCCAGTTCTTAATCACAAAACTGAGAAAGATAAATCAAACATGGGAAAAATGGTTTATAAACTGAAGTGAAGAATATAGGCAAAGCTGGTAAAGAATGAATAAAAGTACATCTGGCTTTTACTAATATTGAAAAGGCATACAACAATATAGATAAGAAATTTGGAAATTGTTATCCCTTGTTAGTGACTAGACACAGAGTTTCCATTGATAATAGGATTTATTGAATACTTATAACCCATAACTACAAACAAGTATAACAGTCTCACTGATTAACACCCTCTATAGATCACTATACCTACAGCTACATAAAGTCATCTGTTTGTTCCTGGGGGTAAATGATGGCCAGCTTGTAAGGCTGACAACCTCACTGCCATCTGTGAATCGATTGCATAGCGAATGTGAGAGCCTTGACATCTCACAACACTATGGGCATCCAAAGCCAGTACAGGGGTGTTTTTTTAAATACCCTTTGTTCATTAGTTGCTGCCTGGTAGCAGCTGCGAACAATGCAACTCAAGACTGACTCACTTGAATGACTGACTGCTGAATTTCTGCTGGCCCTCACCAGCACAATAATTCTTGGTTCTGAGTCCCATGGAACCCATGACCACATTTTACTGCCTGACGGCTCTGGGTGCCTTCCAGACTCTCAGTCCTCATTATATAGGCTTGGCGTGGACCAAACAGAAAACACTGCGTCCTCTATTGCTGCATCACTATCTGTTGCCACAGAAATGTGTTTACCATGCATTACCTAGCAACAGTTGCCTCCTCTTTCAGCTGTCATGTCACAGTATTGCAGAGAGCAAACATTTTCAAATGGTTAATGGATAAGGAACACTTATGTCAAATATGAAAACAGCACGGTATTAGAAGGCGACAAATCTGAATGGTTGCAAATTTTAGAAAGGGGTTATAGATAGGGAAGTTTCTTATTCAATATGGCAATCATACAACGAATAGCAGAAAGACAAGATAATGATAAACCATAAATTATAGTTTATGCAAATGACATTGTTATGGTCATGAAAACAACCCAGAGGACAGGGAATGTCAAAAATATAAACTACAATAAATATATATGAAGGAAGTGGAAACATTTAAATGCCAAGAAAATAAAGTAGTAACAGGAAATTATAGAATGAAAAACAAATGCAGGTACATTATATCACTCAGTTCAAAAAATGGGAAACGCTAAAGACACAAAATAAAAAATATATATTCAAAAATTAGTGAAGGCCCATTTTAACAAACGAAGCAGAAACATAGGTATGGACAATGGCAGACATTAATTAAGCTAGGATGAGATGGAGGCACAGAAGGAAAAATTATGAGAGAATAAGAAACAAAAATATTAGGGAATTTAAAAATAAACACATTGAAGATAAATTAATAAATAACAGAATTACATGGCATGGAGACATGATAAGAACAAACAGAGAATCTAACAGGGTTTGAACATGCCAACATCAAGATGGGGACAGCAAGTTAGGAAACATGTCACAGAGGGATGGATGGAGAGGCTTGGTTTCTAAGTCATCTATGTAAACTGGAATCACCTAAGAAAGAATAAGAAATGCTGTAAATATATCTTTTGCATTAAACTAATAATGACTCCTATAACTTTCTTTCCAATTTAGTTTACCTCATGCTGCTAGATTTCATGTATCACACACAAAACAGTTGTTGTAAATATAAGTAAAATTAGAACTGAATTACATCAAGCAGAACAATGTCTTTTCAACCAATGGTGCTCATCATTGGAAAGTGACCAACACTTCATAGGAAATATGTATTACGTGCATGCATTGTCTTGTAAAGATTAAAACACTAGTATGCAAAAAATATTATTAAAACAAGACTTTTTGATTGATTAAAATCAGTCTGGAAGTTCCCATTATGATTGTGTTCCTTCAGAATAAGTTGTCTGTATTCTGTTGGTTCTGCATGTGTGGGCGGGGATGCAGGTGTGATGTATTTTGGTGAACTGTTGTTGAGACGTTAACGAACACTATACATATGATAGGTGAAAGATGATTAGGTAAAGAATTATGAAAACTAATTATATTCACACCTACACAACAGAGCACAAAAACCTGTACAAACTGATCATAAGGTATAAAAGATTATCAACTCTGTCCAGCGTAATTAGTGTTTTTTCTCCTTTTAAATCTTTCATCCTTGACATGTTTCGGTCAGAGCGACCAACATCAGAAGGACATATCAGTACAAGCAGAAGCTACCATTACACTGTGATCGGTCTTTACCAATACATACATACAGTACCATTACAATGTCATGAATAAAAAAGCTTAGCCTTCAACAACTACAGCGATGTGACTGAATTTATTGAAATATTTACAAATTATTATAATTAGTTTATTTACATGTGTGGTTTAGAAACCTTGTTAAAATCTAGATAATGACCTATCACAGTGTAATAGTAGTTTCCACATGCACTGATATGTCCTTCTGAAGATGGTCACTCCGACCGAAATATGTCAAGGATGAAAGATTAAGAAGGAGAAAGAAAACACTTATTAATCACACTGAATGGAGTTGATAATTTCTTATAGTATTGCTAGTGTGACGGACCAGGATGAACCAAATCAAATTGTTGTATTTTAGCGTCCTGTTGCACTGATTTTCGTGCACTCAATTTTACATGTGAAATTGAGTGCACTACAAGACGGCTAATAAATACACATCATGGACAAATCAAATTGATCATAAAGGGATAAGTAAGTGTTAGGAGGTGTGACAATAAAGTTTATGAACACACCACCGTGTGCTTGCCATGGCAGCTGTGGACAGAACCCTCAGTATGATTTGATGACATTGGCATATCAGCGTTTCACAGCTGTGTTGTTGTTGATCTATGGTAGTCTCTGAGTGGTGTCTATTATTGTCTCAGTGTGTTTTGGTGTGCCATCATCAGAATGTCGGAGCTTGAATTAGAGCAATGAACAAACATTAAATTTCTTGCTAAACTTGGCAAGAGTGAAGGTGAAATCAGAGAGATGTTAGTGCAAGTTTACGGGGATAATGCTACGAAGAAAACAGCAGTTTATAAGTGGGTGACACGTCTTTCTGAGGGAAGAGGATGCGTCACTGGCAGAGAGAGATCAGGACGGCTAGCAATGAGCAGAACTGAAGAAAACATTGCAAAGTTTGTCAAATTGTGCGTGAAAATCGTCAGCTGACTGTCAGGAGCATAGTAGAGCAAACAAACTTAAAGAGTGAAACAGGAGATTTTTAACTGAAGATCTTGACATGAGGATGATGTGTGCAAAAATGGTCCCAAAGGAGCTTACAAAAGAAAAAAAGCAGAGGCAAAATTTGCCAAGACCTTTAGGAGAGGTAAGATATCTTGGGCTATGTCATCACAGGTGATGAAACATGGGTCCACCAACATGACCCTGAAGCAAAGCAGCAAAGTGCACAATGGAAGACTGCCAATTCTCCATGACCAAAAAAGTTCTGTCAGTCCAAATCAAGAGTCAAAACAATGTTGTTAACTTTTTTGATATTAGAGGGAATGTTCATTATGAGTTTGTACCAACTGGACATTCAACCAAGTTTACTGTTTGCAAGTACTGAAAAGGATGTGTGAAAAAGTTGGATGGAAATCACCTGAACTTTTTGCCAACAATTCATGGATCTTGCATCATGACAATGCACCTGCTCACATGGCACGGGGAGGGAGTTCTTAGCTACTAACAAATCACTGCTGGAACACCCTCCCTATTCACTGGATCTAGCCCCAGATGACTTTTTGTGTTCCTGAAGATAAAGAAAATACTGGAAGGATGGCATTTGGATAACATTGATGACATCGGGAGTAATACAATGGCAGCTCTGAAGGCCATTACACAAAACCAGTTCAGAAGTGTTTTGAAGGGTAGACTAGGCATTGGCATCGGTGCATAGTTTCCCAAGGGGAGTACTTTAAAGGCGACCGCAGTGACATTCAGCAATGAGGTATGTAGCACTTTCACCACAGTGAGCTCTCAAACACATATTTCAAACAGTTGCTAGGATGTTCTGCTTTCTGAGACAAGTAATAACATGGGGATTTGTGCTCAGGAATAAGTGGGATAAATCACCCACCATGAAACTTCATCAGAATCCAAATGGTAATTTCTGAAATGAAACATATAGATAGCCACATCTTCATTTTATGCACAACGAGCAAAAAATGATAAACACAGCAACTGCAAGGATCTTCAAAATGATTATAGCACAAGTTTTATCCAGTTTAATACCCTGAATTGTTACATCACGAACTAATTTTACAACATACATCATCCATTTGCTAAGATCTTTTATAAATATGACAGCTACAGTCCTGCATTTTTATTTTAGAATATCTGACAAATGATGCATATGAAACTACTGCTTGGACTAAAAATTTCGATAAGACTGCCAATACTTAAGGTAGTAACCATACAGTTCAAGAAGACGTAGTTTCTCTTGGTTCCAATTAAACGTTCCTTCATGCAGCATTTTGTAAGATCTACTGTGAGCACAATGATGACGGGAGTCAATAGTTTGGTACCCTTTCCTGAACGTGGAAACAGAACACGTTTTATTTTTCCAATCAGATGTAACACAAAATACCACAATCACAATTAACCAGTCACAAAATTTCAGAATCACAATGTATATCATATATAAAGCAGCAAGGTACGGCTCATCGTATCTTTCTAAACCAAATTGGCCTACCTACGACATACTGTTTCCATAACCTGCCGTCACATAAGTAAATTACCAGCAGAGTATTTACTATATGTAAAGTCCAAATCAAATATAAAGTTAACACATACAATGCAGTAGATCTTAAGCACAAAATATGACCCATTACAGTTATTACCTGAATGTATATTAAATATTTTCAAGACACTCAAGACGTGAACCCATTCGAATCACACATCATGCCGTTACAAGCCAAATAAGGCTTAGTAATCTCTACCATCATTGGCTGTGTATATTGACGCCACAATGCATACTTCCGTGTCATTGGTTGGACGTAAAAATAAAACTTTTTACTACACAGTACAGCCAACTATGGCTAGAGGATGGACTGGGCGGTCTAGTGCTCTGTTATGTGTTAAGAATTACATGTGATTATGTATTTGATAACCTGTGATAAATTGAACCGTGTTGGGACGATCTCTACGCGATATATCGTGGTAATGGAATGAGGCAAAGTAGTTCATGTATTCTTTATTTAATTATGGTTTTAAACTGTGAAAGGAATGGGCCTTTTTTCATCAACTACTTGATGAACCTGTACAGAAGTGAATGCATGCAGGAATTAGAAACCGAAGAGTAAAATGAAAAATTGCGAACAAAAATAATTCAAATGGGCTGGAAATGATTGGGGCAGACAATATGTTTTGTCGTTTTTCCTAAACATGGCAATATGACCATATGAGTGCAAAGAAAGCAAATTCCAATAAGACCAATAAAGCGAAAATATGTGATATTCGGTTTTCGAATCTTCAAAGATAGCAAAAATGTATTCCAACCTTCTGATTACTGGAGTGCACACTGTAATTGAATTTATCTATTTAATATAAATTTTACCCATACTTGAATATCGAAATGAAGGAAGTTACAATGTCTTTCGTTTTTATCAGCTGTCAGGGTCAGTTGATCAATGATCATTTTATCGTCTGCGCATTATGTTTTTCTGTATTATATTACGGCTGTTATTGCCCATTTATTGCACATCACAGTTTGGGAGGTTATGTGATGTGATGTATAGTATGTTCACATTTCCATATGTTATGTGGCGAATCCCCTGATATGTATGTATTTATTTCATCTCTATAGATCATTGTTACATGATATAGGACAAGTCAGTTACTGTACATTGGCTGATTACAATAAGAGAATAAAGTTACAACACTTAAAATTGTTTACAATAGTTACGATTTCACATAGTGTGAGGTGGAATCCATATTAGGTCCCTGCGGCACGTCGGCTTCCATATGTCCTATTGTGCCTGTACTGGTGATAATGTTTATGGAAAATTTGATGGAATGAGGATTCGCAGGGGAAACTGAAGTACTTGGGGAAAACCTGCCCCAGCACCATTTTGTCCATCACAAATCCCACTTGACTAAACCGCATCGGTGGGAAGCCAGCGACTAACCGCTTAAGCTATGGCGCGTGTGTTCCTTTCCATGAACCCTCACAGCAACATTGCATATTGTGGTCAGTAACCAGAAGAAATCAAATTATATTGGATATTTATTAAGTAGTCAAGAAGTATCAAGATTGAAAAGTCACAAATCTTAAGACAGGAAGGATGAATATACTGAGGCTGATGGTTTCAATGGACAATCAATACAAAATGCAGAGAGCTTTGTTCTTTACATAAAGATGGAGGTGATAGTCATAAGGCAGGTCTGTCAGCTCGCTGTGGTGAATGCCATTAGCATATGGAATAGTTTCCTTATGGGAATTCTGACAAGGGTCAGCATATTGCAAGTGTTGGGCAGAACTGTTTCACAGTTATTCTGAATGTATAGCGTTACTTCTTGATTCCTGTATACTTTGTCAAATTTTGGTGAGGGATCACTTCAGGTACACCACAAGGTTGCATGGACATTGAGGGAGTTTTGGAGAATTGGTCAGGGTAGTGTCAGTGATTAATGTTGAGACGTGTATGCTATGTTGTACTGTCAAGCACCTGCTATAAAGTTGAGCAGTTTTAAGAATAATAATAAAACATGACTGATCATGCTGAAGGAAGACAATGTATAGGAAGGTGTTGAGGAGTATCATAATTTGTAGTGCTCACCGACTCGCAGGATGATTAAGAAAGAAGGTGAAACAGATAGGAGATATCATGTATGTAGATCTGAAAAAATTGTGTCGCAGAGATATATGGAATGTAATGACCTGGTGTGGGATAGGCTTGTATGGCCTTTGGATGATGCTCTGCCAATAAAACTTGCATCTGTGTTTCAGACTATCATGTGAATACAACACAGAAATGGTGACTGTAGTGCTGAAGTTTCTGGGTACCCAAATATGTCAGACGCACACACTGAGACAAGCCCAGCTGCTGCGTCCCAGGATGCTGCGATGGGTGTCGACATTAGACTACAGTATGGACCAGGGTCAGAAAGAGAAGCAGTTACTGCATGGCATGCTGCAGAAGAAGAAGGAACACTTCAAGGAGAGTGGGCAGATCTTACTGAAGGACATCAAGGAGACACGTGACAAAGTGAAGGAGAAGATGGAGGAGATCATTGAGGTGGGTCAGTCCTCACATCATCAGTATGTACTGCAATAAAGTGACTGGTTTTATTTTATTTCCACAGGGACACTGTTCCCTTGCAGTAAGTAAGTAGCAGTTCCAGTGGTACATGCTTTTTTTGTCAAAGAAACAAAAAAAAAAGTATATTTTATTATTATTATTATTATTATTGTTATTAGAGGGGGTAGGTTTCCCCATGCACCGTGACTAATGGTCTATTGTACGTCCCCCTTTGATATTCCACCAGTTGCCATACCCTACCGGTACTGGTGCGTACTATCAGCCCCGTTCAGCCAACGAGGTCGGCCCTCGGTACCTGATACTTCCCCCCTCTACCAGAGGCACTGGAAACTATTTGGGCGGGAAACTTTTTACTTAATTTAGCTCAGAGGTCTCCTAGATACATAAGGATCTTTTACGTGCTGTAAATCTACGACACAGGACCCACTGCTTGAAGTCCCTCCCGGAGGACTTGTTCCCTGAATTTTTCTGCCCTTAAGAATTCCACGACCTCCGCCAGGTTTGAACCCGCGTACCTTGAGCCATGAGGTGGGAATGTTACCCCTAGACTACGGAGGCCGCTAATAGAAGTATAAATGCCACCAACAACAGATTTCACCCAAGGAAGCAGAAATAATATGATGGTACGATTTTCAGTAGAATCCCACAAAGCGACTGTAAAATCAAAACTACAAAGAACAAGCTACACTGTATGCTTTACCTTTGAAGCCAAAAATTGAAATAATATTAAAAATTCAAGATCATGATCTTCTGGGATGTGACACCACAGAGCTGGTAGATAGGTGTCAACATTTTGAAGCAACCGACTACCTCCATTCTTAGGACAGGAGGACACAGTTCCTGTATCACAGAAATTGCATCTGTATTACAAAGACCAACAGGTTAATGCTGTTCAGAGAAATAATTGCTGTTGACTGTAAGAATCCTGCAGAATTCACTGTTCATACCTGGTACATATAATAACCACTGGACTTCGAAGAGTTAAGAAGACCTCTAAAAAGTTATAAATATTCTGTAATACCCATAACAGGCCAGATGGGAAGGGGACTGTCGTCTTTTAATAATGATTTACATGTAGCAGTCATACCTTGTACTGGATATTATTCACACACACCCTGTCAAGGAGTTTTTTCAGTACCTGCTGGATCCAAATGCTATAGTCTGAGTGACACGTAACTTTTTGTTATTGCACTGTTTAGCGAGAGAATGTGCTGACCATCCCAAATTTGCTGTGCATATCACGGATTGTCATGTCACCATTCCTAGGATACTTCATTTTGCAGTCTGAATACCACTTGGCTCTTGGACTGTTTGTGTTTGCTGGTGTGTCTGACTTGGTGAGTAGTTTCATCAGTGAAGCCTAATCACTGTTCTTCCACTTTGTGTAAGTTCTCATGTTGTATAGTTTCCTTATTCCTCGTCTGATTTATATTTCCCTAGTTACAATACTTTCACTGGTATTTTGTTTCACACTGATTACAGAATAAAGGAGTTTGCTGCACTGACACATTATGATTGACTGCAGTCTCTTTTGCATGCCATTTTCTGAATTAGAAGTCCCTTGCTTGAGATAAAGGGCAGTACTTTTCTTTGTGGGATCCTTTCATATACTTCAATTTATACAAAACAATTGCTAAAATTTCTTTTATGTAATTTCTGTATCTGATCGATATCCCTGCATTTTTGCTAGCTGGATGGGTGGATTGCACGCAATTTTGAGAGCCAGGCATCCAAAATTGGTAGCTTCTTGGACCCCATGGCAGACAAGGTTCTGATAGCAACATTGTTCGGCGCACTCACGTTCATGGACTTGATACCAGGTAGATTTCTCGGTGACAAGTTTACACTGTTCTTTATTGCTGGCACTATAATCAGTGCTCTTCTCTTTGTTGCAGTGTACCTCACTGGAGCGATCATCACAAGGGATCTCCTTCTCGTTGCAGCTGCTTTCTGTGTGCGCTACAAGTCACTCCCTCCTCCTGTTAGTACACTTCACAGTAATAAGATTGCTGTTGTGTGAGAAGAGGATCCAGATTTATCAGATGTAACCTTATTTCAGAGAACGCTGAGCCGGTACTTTGATGTGACTCATGCAACAGCCCAGCTCTCCCCAACAGCCATAAGCAAATGGAATACAGGTATGCAGTTGGTGCTGGTTGCAACCACACTGGCAGCCCCAGTCTTTGGCTATGTGGACCATCCTGTCTTGCATGTCATGTGGTACGTTGGCAGATACATCTTCCTTTTTGCCAGTATGCCTAGTTTGAAGCAAGTGACTGAACAGACAGAAACTGCTGGTATCTCTGCTAGTATAGTAAGCCTGAAACATTAGTACAGTGAACATTAAAATAACTTTATTTTTAAACATCAGATATTTTCTGTTCCCATTCCCATTGTATAACTAGTAATCTGGTTCATTTTTACAAACATTTCAGAGGAAGGTGCAGAAACAAAGGTTCATAATGGGAAATTCATATAAACTAGAATTTTGAAAATGCTGAACTCCGAACATCATATATTATTTTACCACTCTCCCACAAGTAACATTTATTTGGCTGGGTTACCTGTGAATGTAATGTACAAATAACTTATGGTTGCAACATTTTTTTGTATAAGTATGCTGCTTGAAAAGCACTGACAGAGTTGGAATCACATCAGAAATTCTTGACAGTTGTTAATAATGCAGAAGGTCAGTTCAACAAGACATTAGTTACCTGAAATAGATTGATTTTTCAGCATGTTACACTCAGTGCAGATAGTAAATTGGATTTAAGAGTTCTGTCTGGTGAATGTCAACTGATGTTTCAGAGGAACATGTTGCCTTCACCTTCAGGGTTAAAGATGGATACGATGACATGTCCCTCTGAATGTCGGTTGACTTCTGTGAGACTACATGGCATCATATCCCAGAAGACGAGCTATGAGAACCTCAAATTATATGAAGTGGAATTAGTTAACATTCTGAGATTACATCATTACTTATGTGTTGTATAAAATATCAGTGTCAACAGTTTGTAAATTAATTCATTTTTATGTAACTGATACAGGGTCATGGTATATTCCTGAAAATAGACATTCATATATGCCTTCCAGTGTAAACTGATCAAGGTCATTGTACTGACATTTCACAGATGTGTGCCAGGGATGTGGCTTATAAATTGTTTCCAGCACAAGCATTCAAATGGTTTGAAGTGTTTCATGTCAGTATGCTTGCTGCTATTAGTGCTGAATGCAGCAATGCTGGAAGTCTTGGAAGCAAGGGTGACTGACAGTGTCATATGTTTTATACAGGTCTCTGATGAGAGCAGCAACATATCATGTACTGTTAACATACAGACTTCTGCATCTGTTTTATCAGGTATGCAACGGCCAGTACAACACTTGCATCTGCAGTGAGCTACATCGTCTCACGGAACACTTACAAGTTCCTCAAGCCAAGGAAATAAGTGTGTTACTATATTGATGAAGAATAAGTGGATTGTATTTTATATATTGGATTAGAGAAATAAAGATAGAGGATTGTAACAGTCTCACATTTGTTTGAAAGCAGTGCAACATAAACAACCTTGGAAAGCTGCAATCCATACTGGACCTACAGTTTTTCACATGTATTCTTTGTGCCTTGACATCTTGAATGCTTACTAACAGCTTTGATGGATACAGTATTAACCTATATTGGCCACATTTGCACTTCCCACTGCTGTGGTGACAGAGGCTGCATCTTAAGTTGGTGGTCATCAGATTTAAACTGAAAACCCATGCATTGGCACAGTTTCATGATGAGTACAACTTTCAGTTCTCTTATATAGTTGCATTTCAATAATATGAAAAGCATGCATGTGCCCCCCCCCCACACACACAGACAGACACAGTGCAACCTCAGTATAATGAGAATTTATGAAGTTTATAAAAATGCTCATTATAATGAGTACTTGTACTATCTCAAATGGTTAAATACATAATATTCAAGACCAGCTTCTAATTACATATATTACTGTATGGTAATAAGATTAAAAAAATAATTTAAGCACCATATATTTATTTTTTCCACAAATTTGCTGTTGTGAAATGGCAGATCTACATTTCAGTAAACTTAATGTTTCTCATCACTGTAAGGAGCAAAACTTTGCAATCTGTGCTATATAGCTAGTAACTAAAACATCTCACCTAATTATATTAAGCCTGTACAGAGCCCCTTCAGGAGAGGTTAATGAAGTTCTAAGGAGACTAGATGGAACTTTAAAATATCTGTACAATCCAAAGTCTGAGTTCATAATCTGTGGAGACATAAACATAAACTATTTAAATGAAAGCAGTCAGAAAAAACAAGTATACTCTTCAATAAGGACATACAATCTGTCACACACAGTGAATTTCACAAGAGTTCAAAATTCCTCAAGCACAGCCATTGATGATAATGTGACGTGGGCGGCGCAACGCTCGGTAAACACGCCCCCCTCCAGCGGTGACATAACGGTCCAGTCAACACTCTGTCCCCCTTACCCGTGGTGACGTAGCGGGGGACAGTGCGGTTACTACACAGCAATAAACAACTCTTGGCAGCGTTCTCCAGCAACGCCTGTAAACACCACGTTACGCAACAGTGGTAGCTATCATGTAACTGTTTTCTGTGTTGTCAGTGTGGATGCTACATAACAAGAGTTACTAGATAGAGAGGAACTAGACAATTTCAATCTAGCAGTTGCCGAGTCGGGTTGTATCGAGTGCATGGCAGTGACTACAGCAGGAGAAGTATTTGTGAAACTGCAGATGGCAGTAGTTGTAAAATTGTGAATTGTATAAGTGTAAGAGCGAATATGCAATAAATTCGCTAGATCCAAGACAGCGTGAAGTTATTTGTCGCGTGACATACATCCAACACGTGACAATATCTTTATAGATAATGCAAGGTTCAGCTCTTGTACATCTTCTATAGTCAAAGGCTTCTCTGACCATGATGCTCAGTTTCTTACAGTAAATAATAATATTGCGGAAGTAAATTCAACACCCTTCAAACAGAGAACCAGAAAAATAAATAGTGAAACAATTGCTCAATTTCAACATCTATTAGAAAATGAAACGTGAGAACCTGTTTCTAAAAGTAAGGATACAAATTATAAGTTTAACTTTTTTATATATTTTTTCTAAATATCTTTCAAGCCAGTTTCCCTATGAAGAATAAAAGTGTAAGTAGAATAAAGAACCACTGGATTACACAAGGAATAAAAATATCATGTAAACATAAAGGGGGTCTGTATGTAGACAGCAGAAGCAGTAATAATCCCTACACGAGAGTATACTACATAAGGTATTTTGCAAAATCCTGAGTAGAGTTATAAAAGAGGCTAAAAGGCAGCATTACTGTAGGCTTATAGCAATATCGAATAATCAGATAAAAACATCCTGGAATATAATAAAACATTAACCAGGAAAATCACATCTGACTGAACAGATACCATCTCTCCTAATATATGATGAGAAAGTTGAGGACCCAGGAGAAATTGCAGATGCCTTGAATACTTTTTTTTTCTAATAATTACAGAAAATCTAAACTTGCATCAGGAAGTGAGAGATAATGTCATTTCATTTTTAAGAGAGGCATTTCCTAGAAAATTCCCTGGTATTAAAACCATTCCAACAACTGAAAATGAAATAAAAAGTATAATACCTTCCCTCAAAACAAAAAACTCTTCAGGTTATGATGGAACAACAAGTAAAATTTTAAAAGTTTGTGCATCTCTAATCAGTAGCCCATTAACTCACATCTGTAATCGCTCACTATCCACAGGAATCTTTCCTGATCGTCTTAAGATTTCGGTAGTAAAACCACAATATAAAAAAGGGGACAAGACTAGTATGTCAAACTACAGGCCAGTTTCACTGCTAACTACTTTCTCTAAAGTACTTGAAGAAGTTATGCACAATAGGTTAAGCCATTATTTTCAGAGTAACAATATACTAGTCCCAGAACAGTTTGGCTTTAGGAAAGGAATTTCCATTGAAACTGCAGCCTTTAAGTTAACAGACAGTGTGTTGAAATCTGTTAATCAAAAAATGCATGTTGGTGGAATATTCTGTGACTTGGCAAAGGCTTTTGACTGTGTAAATCATGAAATTTTATTAACTACAATACATTTCTTTGGCATTCAAGGAACAACAGAAAACAAAAGACTGAAATAGAATCATCAACTTCAATTCAAAGTACCTAATCAAACTGGGGAATAATAAAACATGGAGTTCCACAGGGGTCAATTTTGGGGCCTTTGCTTTTCATAATTTATATAAACGACCTCCCTCCTACACTAAGGACCTAATCAATACCTATAATATTTGCAGATGACACTAGTGTTATAATTTCTGGTAAAAATTTAGATGATTTGTGCATGTTATCAAGCAAGGTTCTTCACAAATGAGTAAATGGTTTTCTGCAAACAAGCTGTCCCTGAACCTAGAAAAAACAAATGTAATAAAATTTATAACAAACGACACAATATCCATTAAACATAGGATATAATGATAAATATATAGAAGAGGGAGTAAACACAAAATTCCTTGGCTTGCAAATTAATAATCATTTAAACTGGAAAAACCATATCAATCAGTTGATTCCAAAGCTAAGTAGAGCATGTTATGCAGTTAGATTCATGTTATATATTAGTAATATTGACACTCTCAAATCAATCTATTTTGATTACTTTCACTCTTTAATGAAGTATGGAATAATTTTCTGGGGTAATTTAACTGACAGTAAGAAGTTATTTACATCGCAAAAGAAAATTGTTAGAATCATGATGGGTGTCAAACCCCATAATTCCTGTAGTATTTAAGAGACTACAGATCTTAACTTTTCCTTGTGAATATATATATTCATTAATAAACTTCATCACAAATAACGATGAACATTTTCAGAGGAATGCGGATGTACACAGTATTAACACAAGACACAAACACTGTCTTCATAAACCCCTCACGCCTTCAGAAAAGCGCATATTATGCTGGGATCAACATTTTTAATAACCTATCTTCTGATCTCAAAAGTCTTATGAATGAAAAGGCATGATTTAAAACAGCACTGAAACGATACTTAAATGCACATTCATTCTACTCTGTTGATGAATACCTATTGTCTAGAGAATAACTTATGTATCTTTAAATAGCCTTGTGTGTAGTCACTGTATATTCTTGGTTTCTCCTGTGTGAGAACTCCACTGAGACTGTACATATGTTTTGTATTTATATGACATATTCCACATCGTACAGTCATTTTGACTAACTCTGGATCCATGGAATGGAATGCAGTGCAATGCAATGTAATGCAATGCAATGTAACAGCTGAAAAATCGACCACTGCTAGGTAATGGCTCAATAAACGTGTCTGCAGCACGACCACTGCTAGGTAATGGCTCAATAAACGTGTCTGCAGCAATGGATACACATGCAACAATAGAAGAGCTGCTGGAAACAATGTTTTCTATGCAATCTGTGCTGAGGTTATATAACGAAAGCCTGCAGGCAAGTTAGTTCAGTCACGAGTTGTGTGTGAGATGGTAGCCAGCCAGCAACAAGATGAGCATTGAAGCATAAGAAGTTGCACTGTTACACACTGCTACCAAGCAGTGCCTAGCAAAGACTATAACTGTCTGAGACTTAGCATGTGCTAGTGATCTGTTCAGTGTGTAGGTTAGTGATAATGGTATAATTACTTGTATTTACGAGTTATAAGCCTTCAATAAATCCAACTACCAATCCAAACACTATGTCTAGTCACTAATACGTAGCACTATGCAAACATTTGAAAGTGTTTCATCATGTTTTCACAAAATTTAATATCAGGGAGTTCTACATCAACTCATACCATCCACACTGCACACTCAGTATGCAACAGTCATAATAAAAAAGACAATACATGTGGCACAGAGGGTGGAACTACATTGACGCCATTTAAAAACATCATAAATATGAAAGCATCAATCTCAGTAGCATGGAAGGCACAGCAGTTCCCCCGAATTTCAGCACACCTTATGATGGCCAAGTAGGCCGAAACATCTAGTGCAGTGACAAATTTTAAAAGGACTGGATTTTAAAATCTTAATATTGTTGCAAGGTGGACAGTAAAAAACGGAAAATAAATTCTGACATATTTCCATTTTGGTTAATATCTGACAATGAAAAAAAATACACTACCAAAATGCATATCTCATGCAGACATTATGTAAGCTTGCTAAATATTTATCCAAATGAAAATTGTTTTGAACTAAAGTTACAGATAAAAATAAAACACATTTCATGTCCAAGACAGCTTTCTTATGAGTTCTATGGTTTCTGAGACAGTGAAACGAACTGGATCTTACAGTGCCTTAAAAGAAAAACTAAACTAAACTCTGTGGTTTTAGTCTGCAAGTGAACTATACTGACCAACTGAGCAACCACTGTTTGTCAGCAAAGTTAGTGCCAACTTTAGCGGATAGAGGGTGTCACGTGGTAAGTGCAACAAATCCCCATGGCCGTTAATCTCGGTTTTCTAGACTGGAGTCGCTGTTTCCTTCAAATAACTCCTCAGTTATCCTCACGAGGCTGAGTGGACCCTGTTTGAGACCAACTACTTCTCAGAAAATCTGACAGCGCAGGGAATCGAACCCGGGACTTCTGGATCTGTAGCCAGAAACTCTGACCACTAGACCACGGAGGCAGTCTATCTTTCAGTGCCTACATTCATTAACAGAACAAGTGTGCCAGAACAGTTACATCACATGAACTTCCCTAAAGTGCTTGAGGTGGTTATCATGTTGACATGAAAATAATGGAGAGTATTTCAGAATTTTCAGTGTCTGTATTATCTCAACTGAGAAACTGAATATTTTCTCATGTATACATAATCTCTTGTACTCACAGCTGCTGGCTAATGTTTTTCAATCTGAAATTAGAATGGCTATGCATGCCTAGCACTTCTTCTGCAGAGTGGGGAAAAAAAAAATATTTCTACTCTTACAGCTCTCAAATTTTGGAATATAGTCTTTTCTGTTCCAAACAAGAGATGTGGTTTAATGGCACCATTATGGACTGCCAATTGTAAATATATACTAATAAACCTGCAATTCCAGTTCATGCAAAAGACTGCAAGGATATGCTGGCTCAAATTCGCTTACTATGGCAAAACATTTTCCATGTATGTAACATTAACAACATACTGATGGTGCTAATCTTAGAGTTATAGGCCATACTCATTATATCACTCAATATTACTGTATTTACAACATTTTATATTATTACTATATAGTAGGTGAGACTCACTGCACTACTTCTGCTCCGGCATTACACTCCAACTATATATTTGGGCACCTTGTACATCTCATATGCAAAATTCTCTGTATGAGAAGGATCAAATTCCAGGCCAATGTAGTCTATCTCCAAGTGAAAAGGTCCATCGATTTTGTCCCCTGCTGAGATGCCCACATGGGTTACTTTGTCCAATGGGATGGCGTTCTGCTTATCCTGGATGCGTCCCTTACTTGTGAGGAAGAACTTGGAAAATGGAATCTGCAAAGCAAGCAATTTGAGAAATCTCTCCACCAGTCTATGAAGGTTTGAATAATAGTGAGATTACGCTACCTGATCAGCAGTGATATTTGTGAGAGATGGATCTTCAAATGAAGGTTTTGGAACCACCTGCTTGAAACATGTCCACTGAAACTGTCTCCTGTGTATACACAGTGAAACATTAACTTGTGATGTCATTTATAACGAGTGTCAAGATGCAGATGTTTTCTTGTAATTTGGCTCTGGAACTTTCTGTGTGAATTTTCAAATTGTTTATTTTAAGGTACAGCTCATATGAAATAGATGGAACTTGCCCACAAATTTTGTGTGCCTGGAGGGGAGTTGGGTCATTGTACCATCACAAATGAAAGTTACGCAGTAGCATAGTTGGTTGAGGCACTATACTACAAGACAGAAGGTCATAGGTTCGAGTCCCAATGAGGTTACTGCATTTTTCAGTTGACCTAATCCTTCCAGCCACATTATGACCCTGTTGACTCAGACAGAAATGAGTACCAGGAACCTTCCTGGGGTTAAAGGATGGCTGGTACATTCATAAGGCTGACAACCTCACCACCATCTGTGAGTCAACTGTCTAGAAAATGTGGGAGCCTCGACATCTNGGGAAAAAAAAAATATTTCTACTCTTACAGCTCTCAAATTTTGGAATATAGTCTTTTCTGTTCCAAACAAGAGATGTGGTTTAATGGCACCATTATGGACTGCCAATTGTAAATATATACTAATAAACCTGCAATTCCAGTTCATGCAAAAGACTGCAAGGATATGCTGGCTCAAATTCGCTTACTATGGCAAAACATTTTCCATGTATGTAACATTAACAACATACTGATGGTGCTAATCTTAGAGTTATAGGCCATACTCATTATATCACTCAATATTACTGTATTTACAACATTTTATATTATTACTATATAGTAGGTGAGACTCACTGCACTACTTCTGCTCCGGCATTACACTCCAACTATATATTTGGGCACCTTGTACATCTCATATGCAAAATTCTCTGTATGAGAAGGATCAAATTCCAGGCCAATGTAGTCTATCTCCAAGTGAAAAGGTCCATCGATTTTGTCCCCTGCTGAGATGCCCACATGGGTTACTTTGTCCAATGGGATGGCGTTCTGCTTATCCTGGATGCGTCCCTTACTTGTGAGGAAGAACTTGGAAAATGGAATCTGCAAAGCAAGCAATTTGAGAAATCTCTCCACCAGTCTATTAAGGTTTGAATAATAGTGAGATTACGCTACCTGATCAGCAGTGATATTTGTGAGAGATGGATCTTCAAATGAAGGTTTTGGAACCACCTGCTTGAAACATGTCCACTGAAACTGTCTCCTGTGTATACACAGTGAAACATTAACTTGTGATGTCATTTATAACGAGTGTCAAGATGCAGATGTTTTCTTGTAATTTGGCTCTGGAACTTTCTGTGTGAATTTTCAAATTGTTTATTTTAAGGTACAGCTCATATGAAATAGATGGAACTTGCCCACAAATTTTGTGTGCCTGGAGGGGAGTTGGGTCATTGTACCATCACAAATGAAAGTTAACCTTCTGGGCACGCAGTAGCATAGTTGGTTGAGGCACTACACTACAAGACAGAAGGTCATAGGTTCGATTCCCAATGAGGTTACTGCATTTTCCAGTTGACCTAATCCTTCCAGCCACATTATGGCCCTGTTGACTCAGACAGAAATGAGTACCAGGAACCTTCCTGGGGTTAAAGGATGGCTGGTACATTCATAAGGCTGACAACCTCTGTGAGTCAACTGTCTAGAAAATGTGGGAGCCTCGACATCTCAGAACCCCATGGGCCTATTACAGGGATAGCTTTACCTTTTTTTTTTTTTGCCAGTTCTTACCTGGGGTCACCAACTCCTCATAAGCGCCAGTGTGTATCACACTAGTTTATCATAAACCCACAGCAGAGCCCAAAATCCAAGCCTCCTCCTGTGCAGTGTGGGCTCTATTACTCCATCTCGATGCATTAATGCACTGATAATCCTTAATGAGATCACAGCAGATCAGCTGACAGTTTTCAACAAGTATGTAAGAAGCCTGTTCATAAGAGTAGCTGAGGCTCCCCTGTTTTTTGTTTGTTACCTTGGACAGCTGCCAGTATGGGCCACCTCTGGTGAAGAGCACATATGAGTAGATATCATTCCACATGATGTCAAAGTAGCCCATAGTGGAAATGTTGAGCATGTAGGAGCGGCCATCACCTCGAACTCTGAGCACAATGTGGGAGTACATGCGCCAGTCAAAGTATGATTCCCGCTTGAAGGATTTCTACAACACACAAAACTTTCAGGTACAAAGCAAGCTCCAGTCTCCATACTGTTTGCTGCCATCCCAACATTATCCCACAGACTCCACTACAAATCCTCAGTTCATACAAGGATGACATGTTGCCTTCAGACACAGTACATTACTCAAAATCACTGTATAACAAACTAGCAAAGAAGACTACTGGTACCTACAAAACACTGTAAATAGCAATGCTACAAGCATAAGTACATACTCTTTGCCCAGGATATGGTTGTCTTCCTTGTCAATATCACAGTATATAATGTCTAAACCTGAATAAGTGAACAAGTGAAATAAAGTTAACTCATATAATTAAAA